ATACCCCATAGCTTTTCGGGATAAACTTCAGCCTCTTCTGATCGGCTACTCTGACTGTTCATGATCAGGCCTCTGCTCTCTGCCCCGCTCATCTCCCATGACTCCCCTACAAGTGCCCTGCAAGGCAGCTGCACACCATTTTGCACAATTCCTAGAGTGCTGGGTTCACAGAATCAGATTGTGCTGGCTTGTGGATGGCCCCCTTCCACTCCTTTCTTCATTGGGCCAACTCCGATTCACCGCGACATTCAAGAGAAGCCATCTGTGATGCCCCATCCTGATTCAGAGATCTCATCTCTGTTCCCACCATATCCAGTCCAGAATCTATCAGAAAACTTGAGACTCTATTCTGCTGTGAGTGCAGACCTGTTTGATTTGAAATCTCCACAGTAAAACAGCAGATAACACTAATGAGCCTTCCAGCATATATCTGTATAATGAACAACAACAGAGAAAACAAAATGAGTGAATAGATGAGAGACCGCTCCTCCTTCATTTCATCCTTTGGTCATCCACTGCTGTCAGTAAAAAGGAGGCGCCATTCACTTTTTCATCCTACATCAGTGATTACTCAAGGAGTCTGAGTTCACAGAGCTGATGGGGCCAGCTGAAGCAGGGTTGGGAGCTCCCCCTCCTGGGGCTCATTCTTTCTGAGGCCACACAGATCACCCTGCCGAGCCTGGGCTCTTCTCCCTCCTCATCAGGACCACTGGGGATACCATTCTAGCGGAGACAAGGTTGCTAACATTGTGTATCCCTCCGAAACCTCATAAATAGGCATTCAGGATAAAACGGTAAGGGAGAGTAGCCTTTAAGAGGACATAAAAACAATGCAAAGATTTAGGGAAGTGCTCCTCCAAAGCATTTCCTTGTTCACAGAGCTGCATTTAGCTCCTCTGCCTCAAACGTCCGGCTGGGGGAGGCAGACTGGGGGTTCCGTCAGCAGGTTGTTCTCTGACCACCTTTCCACCCTCCACACCCCACTTTCAATGCTTGACCAAGGGATCAGACCACTCCAAAGGGAGCGGTCAGGCTAAAGCAGGAGGAGAGCTTTTCCCACCTGAAAAGGGAGACGGCACAAACAATACTTTCTTCTTCTTCTCTGATGTTGAAATGCTGCCCTCTGTCTCCACCGACCTGCCACCTCTGTGGGCTTCTGGCAGGGCAGCCAGAGGGGAGCTGAAGCCGTGGAAACACATTCGTCCCAGCCCTGACAGTCATCAGCAAAGCAGATTGTTCAGAAACAAGTGGTGTGGCCCGGCGGGAACAGAGATACTAAAATGACTCTGAGCCACACTGAAGTGGCTCTCGTTTGTCCTTCAGATTTCAACTCAAAACTGAGCTTCTCCAGTAATCGCCTAGTCTGGTAACAGGTCAAACCCTCTGCTTTGTTCCCGCATATTATTTCCTTCAGAGCATCTGCGAGATATGCAGTTACACTTTGTTCATTTTGACACCTCCCCTCCTGGAGTGGACTCTTCCGAAGGAAGGGGACCATGACTGTGCTGTCTGCCCATCTGATGATCTGACCTCTCACTGCCTAAGCTACCCCGGCACCTTTTGGCACTTGTTAAATATGTTTTCGATGACTGAATGAATCTTCCTAAGTTTGTCTAGCTTGCCCACCTTACATGTGAATTTATACTTCAACCGTCTAAATCTGTTTAATGAGGATGCTTATAAAAGATGACCTCTGAGACAGGCATACTTCAAAGGCTGTGTGTGTGTTTTCACTGCACAAGTGAATACAAGCTGCCAAGAATAATCCAGGACAGCCAAGACATTCTTGAAGAAAAAGAACTGGAGGGGTGTTATCCTACCAGATATAAATTCTAATTTTAAAGCTTTAAGGCACTGGGGTAGGGGGAGGCACAGACTGATGGAAATGAGTGTGCTCAGAAACATATCCATGCTTGTAAGAAATTTGCTCTCTGACCTGAAGACTACATGGGTCAAGGGTAAGCTCTTCAACAGAGGGAACACTGGCTACAAACAAATCACTGTTTAAAAAATTTCAGATAGATTAAGATTCATGAAAAGCAACATGGAAATTTCTGGATTGAAAATATCTTTAACACCTTAGGGTATGGAAAAAGCATATGCCATAAAGGAAAACTTGATGGTTGAACTACATTAACATATTAAATGCTACATTGAGTATATTAACATATTGACCTCTATTAATAATAAAAGATAAACCACAAACCTGAAGATACTTGCAACACATAAAACTGACGGAAGATTAGTATTTAGAATCTATCAAGAAGCAGTAAAACCAAGAAAGGTATATGGCATTAAGTTATATGTCACTATATGTCGTAAGTTGTACGTCATTTCGTATCTATCTATCACATTGGGAAAAATGAGTAAGTCAGAAGGGAGGCTGTGTTCTGGCAGGACCCCTCACTCCCCGCGACGGGAGAGCATTTGGCCTAGCCACAATGAGGAAGTGTGGTCCGTAACACACCCTTCCAGTGGGGACCTCTCTCTCAATTGATCAACGTATGGATCACTTTAAAAACAAAAATGCAATCTTAGTTATATGTGCTGTATAATAAAACCTGCTTTTCAAAATCCTAATACATACACAATTAGGAACACTTACTCCTTTTCTAAGAATTCTTTAATGTAAAGTAATTAGCCTCCAACTAATAAAAAATAAATGGGAAAAAAATAAATAAATAAATATTTTTTCGACTAAAAAAAAAAAAGAATTCTTTAACACAGCCTTTAACGGCAATATGTATTTTTGTCATCACATGGAAGCAGCACAATGTATAACCACTCCCTACTGTGGGCCATTTAGATTGCTTCACATTTCTTGCTAGCATATATAAAAATGTCATAGTCCTGAAGATAAATATTTGTATACATCTCTGATTATTTAAGAAACTCCTCACAGTAGTTCAAGTGGTAAGCAGGTTTAATATAAGGTTTTGTTAACTTGCCCTTCAGGAAATATTACTAATTTATACACCAGCATAAGTATAGTTTCCCTCCCACAACCTCCCTAACTCTCGCTAATATAAACTTTGCCACATTTAGAAGTGAATTTTTCATTTGTACTGATTTAGGTAATAATGAGGCCAAACACTTTTTGCTTAAGTTTCTACATGGTTTACCTGCTTAATCCTCTACTCTTTTTTTTTTTTTTAAACTTAAATGAGTGAAGTGAAAGTCACTCAGTCGTGTCCAACTCTCTGCAACGCCATACAGTCCATCGAATTCTCCAGGCCAGAATACTGGAGTGAGTAGCCGTTCCCTTCTCCAGGGGATCTTCCCAACCCAGGGATCAAACCCAGATCTCTGCACTGCAGGCAGATTCTTTACCAGCTGAGCCACAAGGAAAGGCCTTATTTTTTTTTACTTAAGTGTTCACATTTTTTGATGACACATAAATGACAATATATTCCTTTCTCTGCCAAGCATACTGAACTTTATCACTTACCCTTTACTTTTGTTTTTGTTGGTTTGGCTCAAATTGTAAATACTTGTATAGTCAAAGCAATCTTTCCCTTTATGGTTCCTTCTCTGATACACAATTATTCTTAATGAGCACATTTAAAAGACTTAACTCATCTTGCCCTTGGGCCCCTACAATAAAAGACCCTCATCTAACAATGCAATAGCATCTTTCTCAGAGGGTCACTGTGAACACTCAGATAACTTATACTAATGTTACAACCTTAGTATAAGGTTACTTATACTAACCTTACAAAATAGGACAGTAACACATAAATGTTGACTATCAGCAGCTCTCAACACGTGGCAGTTATCAACACCACATGATGCCCATTGATCCCCAGAGTTTATAATTAACTGAATGCAGGTCACCTGGGCAGGTGAACTTGGGGATGATTAAGACCGAAAGACTGACTCTTGCAGCTCAATTCCAGAAAAATAAACGACCCAATCAAAAAATGGGTCAAAGAACTAAACAGACATTTCTCCAAAGAAGACATACAGATGGCTAACAAACACATGAAAAGATGCTCAACATCACTCATTATCAGAGAAATGCAAATCAAAACCACAATGAGGTACCATTACACTCCAGTCAGGATGGCTGCTATCCAAAAGTCTACAAGCAATAAATGCTGGAGAGGGTGTGGAAAAAAGGGAACCCTCTTACACTGTTGGTGGGAATGCAAACTAGTACAGCCGCTATGGAGAACAGTGTGGAGATTCCTTAAAAAACTGGAAATAGAACTGCCATATGACCCAGCAATCCCACTCCTGGGCATACACACTGAGGAAACCAGATCTGAAAGAGACACGTGTACCCCAGTGTTCATCGCAGCACTGTTTATAATAGCCAGGACATGGAAGCAACCTAGATGCCCATCCGCAGACGAATGGATGAGGAAGCTGTGGTACATATACACCATGGAATATTACTCAGCCATTAAAAAGAATTCATTTGAATCAGTTCTAATGAGATGGATGAAACTGGAGCCCATCATATAGAGTGAAGTAAGCCAGAAAGATAAAGACCATTACAGTATACTAACACATATATATCGAATTTAAAAAGAGGGTAACGATAACCCTACATGCAAAACAGAAAAAGAGACACACATGTACAGAACAGACTTTTGGACTCTGTGGGAGAAGGCGAGGGTGGGATGTTTCGAGAGAACGGCATCGAAACATGTATATTATCTAGGGTGAAACAGATCACCAGCCCAGGCTGGATGCATGAGACAAGTGCTCGGGCCTGGTGCACTGGGAAGACCCAGAGGGATCAGGTGGAGAGGGAGGTGGGAGAGGGGATCGGGATGGGGAACACATGTAAATCCATGGCTGATTCATGTCAATGTATGGCAAAAACCACTACAATACTGTAAAGTAATTAGCCTCCAACTAATTAAAAATAAATGGAAAAAAAAAAAAAAAAGGCTGAAAGGATGGATGGACTGCAGGAGACAGGCCCTGTGATGCAGACGCACCTCCACGTCCCTCGGCGGGCTCGGGGACACGGCACAGATGACGCTCTTACCTCACTCGTCCCCCTCCTCCAGTTCGGTTTCTTTGTGCACCACCACCCTCGTGACCGACATGTCGGGGTGCTGCTCCCTGGCTTCCCTGATGGCCTGGGCCAGTGCCTGCGGGGTCAGGAGACAGCGTGGTGAGCAGAGAAAGAGAATCTTTTTCAGGGTGGCAATGCACGAGCACACCCATCACCTGCGATCCAGCCTCCAGCAAAAAGCAATGCATTCATTGCTTTACCATTACAAGAAGATCTGAAATGGCCTCCCTGTTCATTTTAGAGAGCCCATCTCATTCCCCTAGATTTCCCATTTCTCCCATCCATTTCCAGGTAACAATTCATGGAAGAGAAACACTCTGGCCCTGAATTCCACCCAGACTGGCACGGACAGCATGAGACATGGAGAAAACAGATTTTCCCTGACCTCAGAATTTTCATCCATTACCTGACACTGGTGCTGAGACTATAAAGATCACATCAAGGCCTGCGGTATAGACTGAAGGAATGGCATAAAGCCTGCCGTCTACACTCTAGTGATACTTGTAGTTATCCAGTTGCCTTACTCACCCACCCACCCCTACACACGCCCCAGCGCAGGACCAGGCTCAGCTCATCTTTTCCCTCTGAGGCTCTCAGTAATTGCTTGAGGAATGCTGCGGGAAAAATATATCAACTTTCAGGACACAGAACGATTAAAACTGCAAGCAACAATGACGACAATCAGTAAAAAGCTAAAGGGAAGACAGACTAATCTTTAGATAATAAAACACGGCTCCCTCTTTTACGTGGAAACAGCGAAGGTGCAAAGGTTGATGGGCTCTCTCTGGGCCATCCCTCTGGGGGCCCTTCTGCAGGGCCGGAGAAGGACCTGAGCCGCCACTCCATTGGTTCACGGGCTCTTTCCTAGACCCGGCTATGAGAAAGCAGACGAGGTTTCTCTGCGCTTGATCAGAAAGTAAACTGTATATAAAGATTATATACAAAGTAGAAAGATCATATTTTTCAGAGGGAAAGGTGTTTAAAGAGGTCTTAGGGAGAAAGTAAAAGAAAACCCACCCAGAACAGTACTCTTCTAGGACAGATCGTGAAAACAAGAAAAAGAAGTCTTACTAGGAGAGAGTTGTATATCATCAGGAAAACAGGCCTTTGAAAAAAAGCAGGATTTTCTTGTGATTCTGTCACCTGACTTCAAGGACAACTGCATTTCTTGTTTGTAACACTGTTTCTGTCAGCTGGAAGGTTAGGGAGCAATACCCTGAGCCTCCTTCCACAAAGAAACATAAAGCTAACAAAAGATTATTTTATATACCGCAAGTTTTTTACTCAGCTTGGAAGTCACTTGAAGGTGCTTCAGTTCCTACTGGGGAACAAATTCTGGCGATTCACCTGTGTTGGGACAAGAGAGAACTTAGGGGATCAGGCTTCCATTTGAGCTGAAGCACAACTGCTTTGTCACATGGGGACAGCAGGCAGCCGGGAGGGCGGGAGTGGAGTGGGGACCTGGTCTCAGAGCAGGACAGGAAGTGCTGCCATGTGAAGACTGCAGTGTGCTTGGGGAACGAGACCCAGTACAGCAGGCGGCCTCTAAGTCTGTGCGCCCGTGCAGGGGGAAGGCGGAGACCCAACAATCAACACTTGGCCTACCCCCGGCTGGTCTGCGGAATCCCATCTGAGAAAGGCCAACTCTGATGGGGGCCAATGTGGCTACAACCAACTTCTCAGACACTCTGAATTTATGTTCGTGACAAAGGTCTGCCTGGGCTTCCCTGGTGGCTCAGATGGTAAAGAATCTGCCTGCAATGCAGGAAACCCAAGTTTGATCCCTGGGTCGGGAAGATCCCCTGGAGAAGGAAATGGCAACCCATTCCAGTATTCTTGCCAGGAGAATTCCATGGACAGAGGAGCCTGGAGGGCCTCAGTCCATGGGGTCGCAAAGAGTCGGATGCACCTGAGCAAGCAGCACTTTCACTTTCTTTCACAAAGATCTGCCTACGTGAAACCAGTGCACTTGTTAAAGAGGAAATATACAATGATACCCAAGAGAAGGTGGAATACACAAAACACACTTTAATTAGCTGAAAAGTAGGGAAAATGGAAAACTGCTATTATCATCTTCAAATGCATTTGAAATCAGTCATCCTTTAGTTCCTTTCCTTCCATAACCTCAGTACATATAAACACTGTAAAATGTTAATGTATTATAGCAACAATCAAGACTGTGAGAAAGCTATCACATCACATTGCCAAGTTGAGAAGTTATTTTATTAGAAAGGAAACACCCTGCCATCTTGTTTCTCACTCCCTGGTTCAGACCTGAGAGCCATAAGGTGTAGAACTTGCAAAGCAAGTTTCTATAGAGGCATGCCTCTTTCATTTGCTAACACAAAAAAAGATTCCTTTTTTTCCTATCTTGCTCAGATGAAGGATTTCCTTCCACTATTAAAATTCTTCTAATGTGGGCAAGGAACTGAAAAAGGTGTCAATAACATGAAAGTCACTGCATGATCAACCTCAGTTTTTGCCAGGGAAGTGATTTTCCTCCTTTACTTTTAAATAGGTTCATAGTCTCATTCACAGGCTTTATGGGGAAAGCAAATACACCATGAGCTTTGGATAACAAGCACCCCAGAAGCCACAATTACATTTACTCAAAAAAGTTTAAAACTTTTAACTTTTTCATTCAAGTTATGAAAAGGGTAAATTTCTCTTCATTTGGATATCTGACCTCATTTTTAGGGGTTTTTTTAAACTGAGAGTATATAGCTGGTTAGTTTCAGACGTACAGAAAGTGATACATATCCATTCTTTTTCAGATTCTTTTCCATTATTGGTTATTACAAGACACAATATAGTTCCCTATGCTATATACAGCAGATCCTTACTGTTTATCTGTTTATACAGAGCAGTGTGTGTGTGTTAATCCCAACCTACTTTATCCTCCCCTCCCTCCCAGTTTTAAAATGGGCTAAAACAGAACATCATACACACAAGGTGTGTGTCCTCACAGCAACACCTAAAGCTGTGACGCACCATCATGACTCTTTTTTAACGGAAGAGTTAGGAATGTGTGTTATTTTGGAACTGACATTTCAGCCTATGTTTTTAATATCTGCTGTTCAGAAGCAGTATCATGGAGATTTTAGTTTTCAGGTAAAACAGGACAAAGGAACATACATAAAATAAAACCTGAGAGTAATCCCTCAAGAGAAAAAATGGCATTTTAAAGTCTGAAAGGACCTAGTTGAGTGGAGAGAGAGTGCAGGAGAAACAAAGGCTGAGAGAAGGCGCCAATTCCCACCTTGCATCATGCCAAAGAATGTCGGCTCCTGCCCAGCACACATTCAACAAAGGCTGAGTGGGAGTTCCAGAGGGAAACAGACCAAGAATAGGGTTTATTCAAACTTAAGGTCAGAGCAATTCAACACTGACCTAGTGAAGAGAAGTAGAATAAGTCCTCTATATGGGAAACCAGAGGCTTGGTCTCCAAAGAGGTGATTCACTTCCTAGTGGTGAAGAGACACATGTACAGTCATGTACTAGGAATCCCCACTACTAAGTCAAAATAGAGTCAGGGCAACCCTTTACCTCTAAGAACTCTCTTGGAATTTAAAAAAAATACATTATGAAATATGTAAGTAAAATTATGTATACAGTAATTTTTTTTTTTAAAAGAATAATTTTCTTTCTAGGCATAGAAGAAATTCTACTCCTCTTTGGCCACATACAGTGAGCTCTTCTTAAACAAGAAATCTTGTTCTCTAAAATTCTCTTTCCCAAGTCCAACAGTGTTCAAAGCTGGGTTAACTATCATTTGTTCCTACTTCTCAGCTGAGATGGCCAATTCATCATTTCCTTTTCCTCAAATTATTGTAAAAGGAAAAAAGCTTGGTCTCCTTTAAAGTTGAGATAAAAATCGCTGAGAATATAACAAGACAAAAAATTCTCATCACCACTTGGCACTGCAGTCTAAAATTAAAACAACTCTCCAAGTCACAGTGGTTTCATTCATTGCCTGCTTTTGAAAGGCATGCATTCTGCTCAACAGTAGAACGAAAGCACTATTATTCTTTAAAAAAATCTTTCCTGAATACATGTAAATTTTTACTTTGTAAGAGACCTTATATTACCTTCTCCTACCCCTCAATAATGGTAATGACTAAAGGAAAACACCTAGAGGTAAATAGTCCAACTTTTCTAATGCTATTAAAAAATACTTGATAAGTTCCTAAAGACAGGCCTAAGTCAAATTTAGCAGCTTTTCTTATTTTCTGAAGCCAAGGTCATGAAAATGCCATTTATTTTCTGATAACTGATGACTTACCATTAAATCAGGCCCACATGAATGCCTGATGGTTGCCAAAATTTTTTAATAGCTTAGACCCAAAGGTGCATGTAAAGCTAGTGGGAAATGAAAAAGCAGCCCATGGTTTATGCAATTCAGTGCTAGGAAGGCTGCACAGACAGGCTGTGTGTCTAGGCTGTGAGCTGTCCTTATGCCAAGCTTAGGAGGCGGACTCATCCAGGAGGTTCTGGGAGAAGGGGTGTGACACAACAGAAACTTAGGGAATGAGCATGATCAATCTCAGAAGCAGATACTCCGATCTTTACCTGGTCGTGATCAATGTCTGCATCTCCTGTGATCACGATGCGTTTCTCAATTCTTGTTTCAGATATCCCGCCTTTTACAGTCTAGAGGTCACAAAGGAAAGGGGAGGGGGGTTAGCAATCACTAAAACACGCTCACACGTAACCAGAGAAAACACAAATGGAGCACGCCGAGACCTTCTGATAACCATCAGGCAGCTGACACTGAGTGGGGAACACTGACGCTCTAGAAACTTCTTTATCTATAAGCTCAAGGTAGAATTCTATCATCCAACTTGAAAGCAACCTTAAAAGCTCTCTTATCATAATTCAGGTGAGATCAAGATGCAGTAGATGTCATTTAATCCAAACAGTTCCACTGGAACATTTCGTTACAACTTCCTGAGTTTCTTCATTTCCGATTGGCCATTATTTTGAAAAGAAGCAAGCAGGGAAGAAATAGTTGTTTGGTTTATGTAGAATTTACAGGGACTCCTAATCATTTAGACGTCTGGTTTAGTTAGGTTTGGAAAATTGCTTGATGTTATAGCCTTGACTGTTCTACTGGCTTCATGCAAATCCATCTGGCAATTTTGTTCAACTGGTTTAGTGCAATAACAGAAACAGAACTTGGATTTGCTTTCAGATATGTAAGATGGGTGAGGGTGATAGACTTCCATCCAATGTTTGATTTGATTCCGCATGTGGTTGTGACATGAACACAGAACATGGCTGAACAAAGGCTGGAGGGGACCCGGGAGGAGGAGCTTCTGAGTAAGCTGCCGAACAGAGTCACTGGCTTGGAGCAAGGTGACAGAGCCTCGGGCATGATAGAGACTGAGAGATCATAGGCTCTGACACTCTAAACCATGAGTAAATACCACAGTCCTGAGAAAGCACAGACCCAACTCTACAGCACTGATAAATTTACACAGTCATAGGTGATTACACCTCAATATAAGACACGGGGCTGACCATAGAGATTGTTAGGTTTTAATAGCTAGATACACTTTAAAATGAACACCAATACCATCATGCATTTTGGGACTTTTTTAATTTACAAAGTTTTTTGTTGTTGTTGAAATACTGAGTGAGGAGAGCAAAAGGGATACATTTGGGACCTTCAGTCTCTAGTAGAAGCAGCAGGCATTACTGGAAAATAATGCTGGGTTAGAAATGTGATGACCACAGCATACACTGGAATCACCTGGAGGGCTTCCTAAACACTCCTGGGGTTTCAGAATATCTGGACCGGGGCCACAGTATTCACACAGCTAGCACGCCCCTGGATGAGACTGTTACTGCCAGTGCAGAGACCATATTTTAACAATCACTGGTCATCAGATGTTAACCACTTAAGAGAATGATCTGGAAAAAAATGCCCCAAATCCACATACTAGAACCTTAAATCAATGGGGGAAATTTACATTATTTGAATAACTCGGTGAAAATTTCCTGTGGTGGTCTCCACTCATTTGCTTCAGTCAGGAGAGCTAACTGGTACTTACCAAACCTATGCTTCTATTTTATTAAGTTCCCTCTGCTCTTATAGCTCTCTCAGGTATAGCTATTTTGAACATATTTTTACCCCTTGTACTTTACAAATTTGCAGTTTGGTTTAAATACAAAGGTCAGTGGAGCCCAATGTCTTGCATACTTTAAATCTATGCATGTTTATTCCAGGGCACTGTGTGTAAAAATTTGAAGGGTGAAGAGGAACAAAGAAACAATTCAGAAAAGATTTTGTTGGCAATGTACATTCCCCTGGCTTGCTTTACCTTGGTGATGTGTGTGGTTGTTGTTGTCGACACGGACTCAGATGTGATGGTCTGTGCAGTCAGTAACGTGCCCGAGTCACCACGAGCCCCGCCATCAATCTTGGGAGATTTAGGGGGAAAATACAAAGTAATGCTTAACTTCCATCCTGTTGTCAGAGAAGACCCCTCCCCGTCAAACATGCATCTTTTAAGACCTATGCAGTTGGCAGAAGATGCTAGCTGCCAATCCCCTGCATGTCTGTAACGGTGATTTACTGATCATAGATTGGCTAGCCATCTAAACAGTAAAGGCAAGGATTAAGTGCACGTGCATGAGGAGAGAGAGGAAAAAGGAACAATGGGAGTAGAAGATAGGACTGGGACGCGCGGGGAAGTCGTGAGAAAATCTGACTGAGGGCCACTTGCAGAATCTAGAAGAAGAAACCAGAGAACCAAACAGAGAAGTTGCCACAGTGACCAGAAGTACTGGGTTTGTTGGTTTTTTAAGCACAGGTGGGTAAAAATAAGTGTTTTCTCATATTACTAAGCAACAGAGCCTGACTAGGAGAGACTATGCTTAAGTGATTTGGTTAATTGCTTATCTCTAGATTTGTTTCTTAAATGACACTGTTCCGTGATAGTCTGTGCATATACACAGCTACCATGCATATGGCACGCATGCAAACCTGGCAGGCACTCTCTCTAGATGTGTGTGTGCATATATCTCTCACACATAAATCTTATATCTAGACATAAGTCTATCTATGGTTTAACTTCTTTGTTTTGATACTAGAAAGTTCTAGAGTTTACCAGGGGAAATAAAACATTAACGGCCTACAAGTTTATGCTAAGACCACCAAACATATTTGTCTCCAGTTTCCTGACACTGATACAGGAAATAACTGGAAGGTTCAGAGTCTTTCTTACTATAAGTTAGGAGGAAATCTTTCGAACTCAGGTCATGCTCCTGTATTTCTTTACAAGGGCACTTACCACAATAGAAACACATGAATACACGCTCTCCCGCCACACCCATTCATAAGAAACCTAGTTGTGCTTATGGGGGATCTATGCACATTTATAGAGAGCATATCTTAAAAAAAAATTTAAAGACTGTTTCACACATAAATGCATTACAGCTTGAAAAACATATTTTGAGAGGACAATAATCTGCAATCCTCCACCATGGTACCTTCTAGAACACTAAATTTCTCAGTTGAGAAAAGAGTTGTCTAGGTTTCTAAACGGTTCCATTTCCAAATGATGACTATTTCCCCCATTTTGTTACTCTTAAGGTTAAATATCTTAATTCTTACTTCAAATCTTTACAGAATCAATGTGTGAATACCAAAAATCAAACACACGAATGTGATAATTATTTAGACGCATAGTATTATCATGTTTACGTAAGAATGGCGACATGTTTTCAGAAAACAATCAACTGTGAGAAGCACAGATGTGTATGTGAATATACAAACAAAAGTGAGTTGATTGGCTCTGTCTTCATGGAGCCAGCGGTGGGAAGGTGGCAGGGATAAAGGCCTAATTCTATGAATCCACAAATTACATCAGATTCAATAAGCCTTGTAAGATGATCTGTTCCCCAAGTATACATAAACATTCCTGGATATATCAAGCCAGAAATGGTTTATAAAAATAATAAGAACAACATTGGTACAGTCTGTCCTAAAAAATCACATATACGCTTCCCCCATAATTACTGGGTCAGCAATTCAATTGCGGCATGTTATGTGGCTAAGTACAGTTACAAAATGAAAATTAAAAAGCTATGTCAAAGTCAGAAATGTAAACTAGGAGAAGACAGAACGGAAACAGAAACAAGCTAAGTAAAAAAGAACTCAAACCGTCCAAGTCTAGAGCTTTTATACCTGTGGAGACTCATAAGTGATGGTTTTGGTCTCAGTTTGGACAATAGGGACTTCCTTGGTGGAGATTTCTGTCCTTTGTGAGGCATCAGAAATTGTTACCATCTCTGTTTTTACCACTGGTGGCTGAAGTGAAAAGGAAGGGAAACATAAATTCTAGAGGTAATAAAATAAATAAATAAATGTGTTTAATGGAGCCTTCAAAAATAACTGAAATATATCCAAACACACACTCATACACAAATGAAAAGAGCAAAAGGAAATAATAGGAAAGACACAAAAGAAAAACACTTTCCTTCAAAATCATATATATGTGTATAGATATATATATATGAAGAATAAGCTAGCATAATGGCTCCTGAAATTGTGGTAGGTTTCAAATTACGATGGTCCCAAATTACTTACGTGTCAAGCCTGGCGTACAGTGATACAGAAACTTTAGTTTTAAGCAAATAGTGATCAAATTGAAAAGAAAACAAAACAGAATTAATGATGAGAAGTGACCTGCCTCCATTTTTATTACAGTTTAAAGAACCACATGGTCTGTGTGAAGGCTCATGGTCTTTAATTGGCAGACCCGGTCAGTAAGCCAAAAAGTCCTTGATGCCCCGCTGATACGGAGATCCCATTTTCAGAAAGAATATCTTCAAGCAGCACTGTTTTCAGTTATACTAACCTAAATCTTACAGTGTTTCTTCTGTATTACATAAGTTAAAATGTGATATATCTATAGAGTTACTCCACCATTGATGCATTAATGCTCTGAACTATTTAAAACATCCAAACAGAGGGTCACGGGCTGTTAACATTGGAGTCTGCCAAGCATGTATGCTTAATACAGACTATACTGCTACCAAAACACTACAGTGCTTTCCTTGAGAGAAAATTCCCAAGTGTAATAATTTAAAGAGGAAATCTCTGCAGAAAGCAATAGTTCAAAGCATTCAAAAACTCTCAAAATGTCATCTGCTGAAGTGAAATCAGAAATTTAAAAGTAACATAAAAGCAGTTAATTATTTCAAGACAAAGTCAGTTCAAGATTTTCCACCCCATGAACGAGAGCAAATATGGAAAACCCTCTACTTTTGGCATTTAACTTTAGAATCAAGGAACATTCACATAGAAGTAAATCTTTCCTCAGTATAACTTTAACTCCCAAATCAGAGACTCTGCACCTAAATGACCAAGACATCATCTCAGGGGAGTGTGGAAAGTTCTGTTTCTTGAAGAGAAAAAGGGAAAGGCTCATGCTTGATCGAGACGAGTCACAAAACATATAACCAAACTTGCAAATAACCCGGAATTGCCTAGAGGACAGAAAGGAAAGAGAAGGGTATCCTTTGCTTAGCTTCTCGCTGCCCAGAAGGAAAGCTAAGTCCCTTGACCAGACTGTACAATCCCTGGAATCTAAAACCTGAAATGCCAGTGGTATTCAAGAAATAACGTTTTCATCATTGCTAGATGCTGAGTTCTGAGCACCACGGTAATAGGAGCCTGCTGCCATTCCTGAAAATCTTATATTGAAGAAAGAATGAGCCAGAAGGTCAAACCCAGTCGTGACACCAGCAACACTCACACTGACCAATTTTGAACAATACACACACAACTTCCTAATGAACAGAATTCAGGCATTTAGTATGAGGAGGCAGTGCAACTTAAAGATAAGCCTTGAAAAAAAAATCTGAAAACGTGCAAAGAAAAATTTCAGTGTGAAATGAGAAGGGAAAAAAAAAAATGAAGTGGCTGCTGTCGGAAAGTTTACTCTTCCAGGAGATTCAGTTGCAGTAAAGATGCCAGAAACTGTGACCCCAGAGGGCAGAAAAATCGACAGATCAGGGCCATCCCCCTTCCTCCCCGGAGAGATCAAATTCAGCATCTTGTCGGAAAAGCTGAAGGAGAACGGGGAGGACAGGAGAGGAGAGGCAGGTGTTCTCCACCTGAAGAACGGCTCTAGCGTTGAGCTCCCATTTACCTCTGAACAACAAATAATCTCTGGCAAAACATCAGTGTCAACATGAGCCGCCTCTCCATTAACCTTCTGCGGCTCGGCCTCCGCTTCTTGGCTGGCGTCTTGCTCAACGGCGCCTGGGTCTGCACTCTTCCCAGCAGGGAGCTGGGGGGCCACTACCTTCTCCTGGGCCCCTGTCTCCGCCGGGCCGAGGCCGGCCCCCGCGCGCGGGCCCGGGCTGGCCGCCGGCACGGGGCGCTCCCTGTCCACTACCTTGGCTGCTTGGCCGGGGGCCTCCTCCACCTCTTCCGCGTCCTCCTCCTGCTCCTCCCTGATGGTGCCCTCAGGCACCCGCTGGTGGGGCCGGTACTCCCCCACGTCCTCCTCCGCCTCGCTCTCGCTGCCGCCGCTGCTCTCAGAAGACAGGGAGGTGGAGTCTTTCTGCAGCCCTGGCTCCACCTTCCGCATCTCCCCAGGACCACGCCCAGGGGACAGCTCTTTACCGTTCATTTCTTCGGGGATTACTCTTTCGTCTTTCCCAACCTCTGCCTGCTTCTTCTCCTCCACTACATTCAGAGTCTCAAGTGAACTCTGCACAGAAACAAAAATGGATGAGGGGAAACAAAAATAGATGAATAAATCAAAACGACGGCAACCCAAATTAACCGATGGCAGGTTTCATGTCATGGAGAAAAGCAAAGATGATGATGATGATGGCGGACTGAAAGGGAAGCAGGGGGAAACGTGAGCAGGATTGGAAACGTCGGGCAATGGTGTTAACATGGTGAAGGGGAGAACCTTAACAGCATCAGTGGCTCCGGCGCAAGGCCCTTCGGACTCAGGAGCGCGTTTCTGCGGAACAAAAAGCAACCGAGGACACAAATCAATGAAGGTTTACCTCGACACCCACCAAAACAAACATCTGACACTGCAAAGCAGAGCAGCAAGAATCAACAGCCATAAAAACCTTTTGCTCAAGGTCACGTGAAGGACAATCCAGACAAATGCAAGAAGCTTAGGGAAGGAAACAAAAACACAAAAATAGCCAGCATCCTCCCAAAGAAACAAAATGCTTTTATTATACTTAGATCTATAAGCTCCTTCTTGTTGAAAAGGCGTGGGGGAGGGGGTGGGGATGGAATTATACCAAAGCTTACTCATTATTTTAAAGTTTACATATTAAGACTTTTAAAATCTATTGACAGATTGATTTTAATCAGACTTAAGGAGAAAAAAAAAAAAAACCAAACACAGCATGGCCTGAACACGATTCCTAAATGAATTATCAATAAGATGATATTTTTATAGTTTGCTGGCTTATTTAAAAATCAGTTTTAGTTGGCAAAATTATAGTCGGTCTCGGATAGTTATTAACACAAAAGTGTTGCCATTTCAGAGATGGTTATTAGCATCTGAAACTGTGTTATCGATTAGCAAAAAGGGGTATTATAATAGTAGGGTGGATGTCAGTGATGGCTCCAAGTGTTTTCGCTTAGAATTTAGCTCCTCCATTTGAAATTTGAAATGAACCAAGTTTATTATTTGAGATGCTCATTGCTGCCCCCTTGCAGAGATCTACTTTGGGGGAGTAAATTTACTCTAGCTAAGTATAGCACCTAAATGTTCAAATAAATGCTTGAAGACCAAATACCTTAGTAATATCACTATACTACAGTACTGATAATCAGGGCAGAAACTTTCTTAAAAAGGAATCTGTTTTTAAAGATTAAAATTTTCCTTATATTTTGAAAAGGCTAACTTATACTGATACAAATTATTTCTAGCCAAGTTTTTGGCATTCCAGTAGCACTAATGCCTTGTGCTCTGACTTTACAAATTCAGCTAGAGACAGTAGCCCTACTTATTTAGGAAGGTATCTCGATGCTGAATGAAGAGCACTGCACCTCTGAACCCTCTGGGCAGAAACAACCCGCACTGTGACGCTGCCAAGACACTAACTGGACTGGAGCTGCTTCCTACGGTAAATAACACAAGCTCATGTTTATCTGCTCCAGCAACATGGAAAACCATGAGCAAAAGGTCCTAAAAGGACACCTATCAACATATACTCACAGACCATCTTTGACCTGCACTGTTATTCTTAAATGTCTGGTAAGGGAACATTTTCAATGCTCAACATTATACCTTGTAAATCATGTCACTGACAGAACAAGAGAGCTATCTTTTCAGTGTTATTGAAAACTGAGGTTTCACACATTAAACTAAAAACCTCTAAACTGACTTTGCTAGTTAGGCAACATTCAACTGTAACTCCTTACAAACTTCTTTAGAAATAAAGATATCCAGTGATCAGTACATTTCTAAAGGAGCTATTTCATTATTACTACTTTTATTACTGAACCTTCAAATGGCCAGATGGATTCTGCCCAAACTCAGGGAATTCCTTAGGGGTCATTCCCCCCAAAAATTTAAATTGACTCTGGCAGGCGCTTCAGTTTTCCCCTATGAGCAGAATTCTTAAAATAACAAGCCATCTGAAGATGTTTTGGCTTTGAAAACTTCTGCAAAAAATGCTTTAGCTTCTACGGAGTTGAAGGTTTCCCTCCACGTAACACCCCAGGCTCTGTACCTTTGTGACTGGTTTAAATGATTCTCTCAATTTAGGCAGACTGGAGAGGGGAGAATAGAAAGCAAGAGAAATATCCAATCAGTGTCTTTTCCTCGTGTTCAAATTCACTCATTATTTCTTGAATGTTTCTCCCAGGAAGAGTTAATTTCACCAATGAAAGCACTGGAGGAAAGGGTTCCTTATTACTCAAAAAATAAAAATCACTCTTAAATGTGACTTTTTAAACATGGGAAACAAAGCAAAATGCACCTCAGGCAACCGTGAGAAGGGCGAGGAAAGCTTTTCAGAAGGTGCATTAGGGTTCACAACAGTGCCCTCTGCTGTCCGAGTGCTGGCTGAGCTGAAGGAGGCTTTCATGCTATCAGAAAAGCCCTTTTCACTAAACAAAATGGATGTTATCTCCTCTTCTAGGCTCTGGAGAGGTCAGAAAAGGAAGAGCAAAGAATTAGCAATAAGTCAGAACAGACAGCGGTGACCTATTGAAAGAAAGGGAAGGTTACGCAAGAAAGAATCACAGAGCAGCATACATTGAAAGAAAGGCGAGGATTCTAAAGATGCTGCGGCAGGCATCTGTGGCCATTTGCCACAATGCTGGCTTTCCACCCTGTTTGAGGGTTGTTGATAGCTCTAACCTTCAGAAATGCACTAAACTCTCTGGTTTCTCACTGAAGCTTTATCACGAGTATGACTGACCCACCTGCCCATCAAACGCTACTTCGTATAATGTTGAGGGAGCTCTCGGCATGGGCCTCTCTGCTCAGCAGCCTCTTCCGGGGACCCTCCACTTGCTACACTTATTTCAGTGTTAGACCTTGGATGTCCCTAACCCTCTGCCTCCAATGCTCTTAACTAGGCACTCTGGGCCTTGCCAATTCCGCTGTCACTCTGAGGTCCACTGCACGTTCTGCGTGTGGGCTTAACTATTTCAGCTCCTATGCTCTCTCCCTTCCCTACACCACCTTGTCCATACAACAAGCACTGTGAAAGTAACCCACTGAAGTTCCCCCAGATATGCTAGATATGCCATGGGATGAAGAAATAGTGTCTCTTTTTCTTTCAGTAAGAAATGGGTAAAGGAAAAAATTCTAAACAGGAAGACAAACTTCAGAGGGTAAACGCTAAGCAATGTGAAAATCATCTGTCCCTGAAAAGCTACTAAGGTGAATTTAATCTTCGCCCTTCTAGCCCTTAAATGATGGTCCCTAATCTGCCTGAGGGTACAACAGGGAAGCTGGGGACTATCTCAGATATTATACCTAGAATACCAACGGTAAGGAATTATCATGTAGCTCCCTCTCACGTTAGATGTGTGCAATAACATGTCCTAACAAACCGCACAGCTCAGAGATCAGAGACGAATGAATGAACGGCATTCTGGGGTGCCTCGTGGGACACTGCCCTAACCGGGATGAGTGGTAGCTACAAGGAGATGCGAAGCACACTAAGTTGCTTCAGAGATGAGGACAGCAAGTTGCATAAGCACTTACAATAGTCAGGAGAGAAAAAAGCTTCTGGACAATTTCAGCTAGGGTCAGGTAGGTGGAGATGATGTCCTACTAGGTAAAAGATCACTGGGGAATTTAAATTAAGTACGATGCATCGAAGTAGTCAATAAAATATCTCCAAAAGTACCTTAAAACTACAGTCTATGCAATCTCTACTAGACTCTCGAGAGAAATTTTATACAAGTTCAAAGAAAGAAAGAGTGTGAAGTCACTCAGTAATTTCTGACTTTTTGCAACCCCATGGATTGTATAGCCCGCCAGGCTTCTCCATCCATGGGATTTTCCAGGCAAGAATACTGGAGTGGGTTACCATTTCCTTCTCCAGGGGATCTTCCTGACCCGGGGATTGAACCCGGGTCTAACTGCATTGTAGGCAGATTCTCTACCATCTGAGCCGCCAGGGAAGCCCTAATTTGTCTATTAAAAACCAAGTAATTTGATTTCAAATTTTCTGCCCTACTCTCAAAATCATTCTTAATATACTGAAGTCATTTTGAAAGTTTGATGGATCGATTGCTAAACAAGAAACAGTTATTTTTTTTAATCTATAAAACCCATTATTATAGACATTTCGAATTCTGGGGAGACTATACCTATGTATAAGTTTTATTTTGCATTTTATTAAGGACTGCAATTTAAAGAAAATCAAGAAACTCTGAAAAATTAAGTAGCAAAATGAAGTTGGAAGAAAGATAGCAATTTAAAAGATACTCTGTTAAAAGTCAAAATACTCCAGTAGACTTACTTAACTTTCAACTAATAGTAGTGAGGTGTTATTTGAGGAGTTGGAGAGGAAGTACATTGTAAGTGGTCAAAAATGTTTATTGGGTGAATGGATGATCGAAGTTACAACAACCCATACATGTGTCAAATAAGTACATATTTTCTAGCATGTGCTACAGAGGAGAAGAATAAGAAAAAAGCAATAACTTCAATTGCAGATAAACCATTTAGGAGTTTAAGAGTGGGTGAATTCCAGATTTAAATTTCACATGACATCATCTTAATGTTAACTTCTACAATAATGAATGGATAGTTTTCACTGTACACAGTTTATATCGTACACTCCTAAATGATGACATCCAGAAAACATGATCATTTTAAACATCTTCACCAAAATCCCAAAGTTTCCTACTGTAAGGACATCACTTTAAATCGATCAAATGATGTCATCTGACTCACTTCTCAAGAGGATAAATTTTCAAAACTATATAATATTTCAAAGTATATGATATTGAAATCATCATTTGATACAGAGTCTGATTTGCCTTGGATTTCAAACTAACCTTTCAAGTATATAAATGCTACTTGGTTTAACTTTATGATGCTATCTTTCACATCTGCAGTGTTGCAAAAATATTTCATCTCACCTAGACCTCAAATCCTTTTAGTGCAAAGCTTCATCTTCCACTTATTTTGCCTCCTCTACCATCCCAGCGTACGTTCTGATGAGTAGTACTCTTTACTGATTAACAAAATCAGATGAGGTGAGAGGGAAACCCTTTCTCTTTATTCCAGTCTGTGCTCTCATTCACATCCCCTATAATCCATCCCTCATTCAGCACCAGAGGGATTTTCGTTAGACACGTGGGATTATATCACTACTCAGCTTAAAGCTCTCCAATGGCTTCCCCTCAATCACTCCTGTAACAACTCCAAATTGTTACTATGATCTTAAAGATCCTGCCAAGATCTGGGGTCTGACCTCTGACTCTTCTAAGACCTTGTCATTTGGTCTTTCAGTCCTTTAAAGAAATTCCTGTCTTTGGGATGTTGCATTTGGTCTTCCTTACACATGAAAGAAATGTCACATGTCCACCTTCTTTCTCATCATTAAGGCCTCAACTCAGATGTTCTCTCTTCTCATGCCTTCTCAATCCTCCTATAATGCATAGTAAGTATGTCATCTCCTTAATACTTCTTTATACCCCAAAATTTCCAGTCACTAATGTGCATGTCTGCTCTCTCCCACAGACTCTAGGCATGCCAGTCCCAGCAAACAGCAGGTTGGTCAGCTGGCTAAACAAACTCAGTAGAAACAGAGGAATAAGAACAGAAAAGCAACAGAAAACTAACTTTCCTAGAAATGCCAGCTACTTCATATATGCAGGAGTACAGAGAGATCTGAGGGGCTGTTTGTGTGCACCAAAATCTTTTGTCCCATTAAAAGTGCGTGTACCTATGGCTGATTCTTGTTGATCTATAACAGAAAACCACAAAATTCTGTAAAGCAATTTTCCTTCACTTAAAAAAATTTTTAAAAATCTTAAAAATAAAAATTCAAAAGGATTCCAAATGTAATCAGTAAAACAGTAATCTGGATCACACATAGTTTGTTATTTTAACACCACCGCAGTGAGCGTTGTGCAAACAGTGCACTGTCACGTGAAATCATGGTTTTCCAACTGCCAGCCACATCCATTGAAATGAGGGGTCACTTATCACCTAAATCGCTTACGATGTCTGCATTTCAAATTGTGGAGTTTTAAATCAAGTCCTTCTGCAATATGGTGATTCTCATCTAATAATCCCATGGAGTTATCTTTTCAAGCACTCAAAAATTACTTTTAAAAATTCAGGTTGACCCAAGGGAAAAGACGTATCTCATGGCTGCGGACAGAAATCAAGGAAAAGAGGAGAAAAGCAAGAGTAGACCAAGGATGCGAGGTGAACACCTTGTCTGCCTCCTGGGGCTTTTCTTCAACTGTCCGCGCTGCCACCATCTGAGGCTTCTCCTTCATGGATAAAATGTCCTTGAAAAGATGGTCTCCTTTGCTCTATTGTTTTAAACAATAGACATAATCAACAAATAAAACAAACACATTATACCTACAGCAACACAAACAGAAAACGACTGTGTGGGTCAGCGAAACAAGCCAGACGAAGCAGCACATAAAGGGGGACCCAATCTCAGCACACCATCAGTCTCCCCAGAAAACACAACACTCCAGGGTTGATTCTGGAATATGGACATTAATATCTTCAGAAGAGCTGAAAATAAGAGCTGAAAAGTAGTATGCAACTTCAGAAGAAGCTGCTATGGTGTTTTAAATCTTAATAGTGTCAAAAATCTTTGCGGTTTAGCGATTTTTCTTTTGCTCATCTGCTCTAAAGAAATTTGTCCCTTCCACTGTCACACAGAAATTTAAAGCAAATAACAGCTTTGCTTTTTAAGAAAAGGGTGAATAAAAAAGCATGAAAATAGCTAATTCAAATGCCTACAATTTGGCAACATTCAAGTCAGACTAGATGATGAATTTAAGGAGAAGAGGGGGTGAAACGAAAAGAAAAAAGAGAGAAACTGTAGGGTAATACCTGAACACACTTTTAAAACTGCATGTTAAACATAGGATGACCACTATTTCCTCAAGCAAAATAAATGAGCTAATGAAGTTCTTGGTTGACAGAAGGAGAGACTTTGGAGCATCAGAGAACAGATGCAGACACAAATGAAGAAGTATTTTAAGAATATATTTTAAAGGCAATGTTTATGTTGGTGGTGGAGAGAAATAAACCATGGAAAGAAAAAGGATGAGTTTGGAAAGACGGGTGAAAAAAATTTTTAAACATTAATCTGGATTTCATTACTAAGAAGTTTCAATTTAAGTTATATAATTAACATTTTGCCAGTTTTCAACAGAGCCCAGCAGTCTTCAAAGCTAAATTTAACTCTTTATCCTCACAGTAATAACCTTAAACCATTCTAAATATGGTCTATATTACTACATCCCTTTAATTACTAATTCTTTAATTATTAAACAAACTCTTACTTTAGACGTCAATAATTTAAAAACTTATTAAATACAATATACATTGGTTTTTAAGTCACTTGATGTAACAACTCATTACTACCAATTTACTCGAGTAAAATAGTGAAATTATTCTGAAAGTATTTGAAATTGTTTTGAAACTCATACAACTTACCCAAGAACTATGTCAATAAGTATTACACACTGTTAATAAATATTTAGTATTTAAAAAATTGTTAGCAGTTACATTTAAAAAATGGGAATATTTTCTAACTTCTCATAAGAATCAACATAACAGATTAACAACCTAAGTTTTATGAACAGCTGGAGTGAGACATACAGCCAACAAATAGCTAGTCACATACCCCTTGTGTCTGTAGGGACAGAGGTGTGATACGTCGTTTTTCCCATTCATTAGGGCGTGGTTCAGGTGTGGATTCCATAAAATTGCGCTTGAGTTCACTAATGCTAGCCTGGTGTTTCAGTATTTCCTCCTGGGCCTTATCCAGGTCCTAGCAATGTGTAACGTAATGAAAGGGGAAAAATCCAAAAGGGGAAAAAAGAAAAAAAAAAAAAAACCCAATAGGATAAAAATAAAAAATGAAACCAAAAATAAGACAAAGCAAACTTATGATTAAAAAAAACATAATAAAGCAAGAAAAATGCCAAGTCTCAAAAGCCATATCACCACCTATAAATAAGAGCTTGTCCAAATTTGAAAATTAAAGCCAATGTGTAATTTTTTTATGATTCATGGCTTAAAGGGTTCTGATTTCTTTGTTCAGAGTTGTTTAAGAAATCATGAGGAGGAGGCCATGGAACTCAACATGGCGAATAAACCTTCTTTCTCATAGTTAAATTTGAAAGGTACTTTGTTCCTGCAAATTCACTTTTCAGATTTGGGCTACTACTAGAGTTGCATTCTGTGAATAAAATGAAAAAAGTAAAATTAGAGAAAGGTGGACTCAGAGCATATTGGGCCTGATAGGAAATCTGATCCAGGATCATACAAAAAAAGGGGGGAATGGTGGTGGGGAAACAACGGTTGACTTTTTTCAGGAAATTCCAGCAATGGTTTTTAATCCTTACGGAATAAACGTAACAGCTGCCAGAAGCTGCTTCTGTTTGGTCTTTCTCTAAAATAAATGAACGTCATCTTGGTTTCACATTCTTGCCAAGCATAAATGTGGGACCCAGCCACCCACATATCAAATGGTCCTTAAAAAAGGATGTGAGAAAAACTACCGGGTCAATTTTCATTGAAATAGGCCCTGATAAATGTTACTTGTGGGATTTTTTTTTTTTAGATTGGTCCTGATAAATGGTATTTGTAGGAATAAAAGGTAGTATTCAAAAAAGTTTTAACTGAACTTTAAGTGCTTTCTTACATTTCAAAAATCATGGGGCCACCTGTGGATTACAGCTTTCAATTCCACTATTCCCTGAGAAATAGGTCATGCATCTGAGTAAAGAAATATTCCATATGCATGCACAAGCATAGTACGGATAGCTCATCTAGGAGCTCCTATTGCCATTTGCAAAAACTCAGGAAAATCTAAAAATCTTTGCATGGCATGGAAAAATGACTGTGGCTTGAGATCAGGCACATTTCTTGCATTTGTTCAAAGCGCTGTTATATATTATTCTTTAGAGCATTTTAGTAAGTTATGCAAAAATACATTTCCAACAGTTATTAAAGCTGGCCAAAGCAACCCAACAGATTAGTCAAATTACTGAGGACCAGAGTTTTCCACTGAATACATTGCTATATCCTATCCTAAAAGAAGGGGGAAAAGAAACAAAAAACCATTCTCATGTGACATGGGGAATATATTTTACCTTCCTAATTGAGCAGCTAGGCTTCTTTTTCCTCTTTTCTTTCTCACTTTATTTCACTGCTACTCTCTTTTTAATCAAAACAATCCCATTAATTAGCATCTTCTCAAAAGGAAGATTTTAAGTGGACCACATTCCTAATTGCATGGATTTTGGTACTTTTTCACTTCACCAAAAAAAAAAAAAAAAAATCATGGACACAGATCTAGGGCCAAATGAATTAATGCCAGATCGACAAATATTTTTTTGCAGTTAATACATATTAAGGATGGGATCATGTCCATTAGGAGAAAATAGGTTTACTTGCAGAACTTAAAGATTAATGAATAAAAACTTTATTCATTTGATTACACAGAATCTCTTCTTCTTTCCCAGTTGTCACTTTGAGAACTTCTCATAGACATATTCCTACCTAAGCCACTTTAACAGAACAAAGTCAGAATGCTAACATGCACTCCCAGGTTGAGCTTCCCCATGCATCTCGTGCACTGTGCTTGAAAGCTGCCAGCCAGCCAGCCTGTGCGTGACCCCCCATCCACAGCAGCCTGGACAGCCATTCGGACAGAGCTGTTTTCTTAAATTATACAAACCTCCAACATTAAATTGCTATGTCTGACATAAATATTATCTCCTTCTACTCTCAAGGAATTTTTCTGTGAAATTAAATCACACAGAGGGAGGGAGGGAGGGGGAAGGCAAATAAACATAAGTGTATCAATCAGCAAGCACCAGAAATGACTCAGAGTTGGACAGTCTAAGGCATTAAAATAAAAGAGAAATAAAAATCTTAAGAACCTAAAGCCACAATGAGCAAAAGTCACAAATAAATCCTAAATGTGCACCCCCCAGCCCCCCCACCGTGCAATCATAATGGCAGGCAGCAACCACCAAGTATTTAACTTTGGGGAATAATATCCACCTCCTCCAGCTGTGCTTCGTCCTCTTCCATCTTCGCCTGAAGTCACCCAGCAAGCAGCCAGAGAGAAGGGGAGTATTATTGGAAACGCTATCACCAGTGCAAAGAAGCTGTATTTGAACTTAAATGGTGAACCAGCATTACCAACCTTTATTGTCTGGCCCTCAGAAGACGCAGAATATTAAGCCACTTTGGTCTTTCTTCACCTACAATGTTGTACAAATGATGGAAATGGTCCTTTGCAAAGGTGGAATAGAGAAGGGAAGCTTCACTCTTTCTCAGTCACCAGATAATGTGTTGCTTTTTAATATGTTTTGACTCAGGAATGAAAATATGAGAGTGTAAAAATGGCATAATTCAGTCTGTTCTAACCTGAAATATTTAAGTCAACTGGCTGTAAGGGCAAAGTGTAATGATGCAAATTTTAGCTTTCACTTTCTATCAGGGACAAATGTTCACCCTACATAGATTTCTTTCCTTGGGGAGGAACTGGTTTATTTTGCTACTTTTACATAAAATGGTGGACAGTAAAAACTATTCCTGAGTTTTATAGTCACTTCTCTTTCATAAAATTTTTTAAACAAGCGTATTTATTCATAGTTGGGACAATTCTCAGTTATCCAACGATCCAAAGAATAAATCTGTGTATTTAAAACTAATAGAAACACTGATGACTTACTGACTCATGGAACAGAATAACATAAAAGAAAAATACTGATTCAGATGTCAAAGGAAAATAGTGTAACCTACACGTGTTCATTTAGAGCAGGATCATATACATTATTTTTCTTCCTTACTGTACTTTTTTTTTTAACCATTCAAGCATTTTTGAGAGGTAAACAGGGAACTCAGAGTATCTTTTGATCAAGAGGGAAAAACAGAATACAACCACTCAACAATCTGTTAAGAATAATCTTCTAATTCCTTGGTCAACACTTCTCTAAAATGTCAATATTTGGCATTCCTTGGGTAACATTTAGGAATCATGGATTCTCCCCCTGTGCTTGATTATCTTCACATTTTTCCTTAGATTTGCTCTAAATTTTGTGGTTTATTCTATATATGAATAGTAACTACAGGATATGGGACACTAGGTCCCCAGACCACATTTAGCAAAACAATTAAAAAAAAGAAACTACTGCACATGTGAGCATGGCTTAGTACTGTAGAAGTAGCCTTTTATGGGGCAGAAATCCTCAAACCAGATATTTAATTTTAAATAAAAGGACACTAAGAGGTCTGACCCAACCTTAGGGCTACAGAGTCTAAATTTTCCAAATGCTGTGGTATATTTTTCATACATATTTGTTAAAGACAGAAGAGTATCTTCCTTAAAAATACCTGAAAGGGACTCACAGATATTATATGAGTTTAAAAAAATAAATAAATAAAAGAAAATAAACTACATGAACTTCATCTGGGTCCCAAATGCTACAATAATAGGGAGACAAAGAGTTTCTGAGATTAGACCTACACACACATCAGGAATAACAGTCACAGGTGCATTCTCCTTAGTGAAGAACAAGCTTGGTTTTCTAACAGCAAAATAGTAGCACTAAGGAATTCTATTAATACATATCGATCAGTTATGTCCACTGTATTCGAAGTTCTATACCAAAATAAAGTTTCCATCCTAAAGGAACAGCATTAACATTTATGTGCAAAATGGACAGACCCAAAACAGACTATTAAGGAGGTCCCCCTTAATAAGGGGGACTACTATGGAGGTCCCCCTCTCCTTCTTTTGTGGCCTAGTATGGTTCAGATATTTATTTTAAAAACCAATAACTTTGCACTCCGCGTAGAATGTGTGGACCTAGTCAATGAATATCAATGAGGGGAAATGCTTAATTACACTTATTTCTCATGCACTAAAGCTACGTGTGTGTGTGAAAGTGTGCAGATCATACTGTTTTGAGGGCAACCCATGCTGAGATTTATGCACATGTTTACACTCTGCATCAGGAAGGGTTAAGGAGAAGTGGAGCGCCCTTGCCGGCACAGATTTGAAGCTGACGGAGGACAGCCCCTAAGTGCTTCCCCTTCCTCTGCCTTGTCACTCCAGTCACACTCATAAGGAGCGGTCAGGGCGGCAGCTCTCGCCTCCAGATAGCAGAGGGAGAGCGCAAGAGGGAGGGAAAGGGTGAGGGAAAAAGGCACCGACTGAGAAGCGGAGAGAAGGAGCCCGAAGATGAGGATGAGCGAGGGGAAGAACGAGGCGGAGGCGGCGGGCACGTAGGGCCGGGCGTCCGCGGGGAGGAAGGAGACCCAGACCTTGGGGAGGCTGGGGAGGGCCAGGGACCCGTCCTCCTCGAGCAGCGAGGGGAAGCGAGGCAGAAAGCATCTGCAGAAACTGAAGAAGGACCCACGCTCGGAATCCGTGCGGCCGGCCTCCTTTAGAGCCTGCTCGGGGGCAGGCTCAAGAGGGGCTTCAAGAGGACCCAAGCCAGGATCGCAGGGCCCCTGCTCTGACGCCTCGCCTGTGGAGAGGCGCTCTAAGCTGTCCAGAGTGATACGATCGGCCTCCCCAAAGGGGTCTTCCTCTGAAATGTCAGAAAGGAAGTCCATTTCAGGGACTGGCAACAGGTTTGGGGAAAGAGATGAAGCACAGCGGATGAGTGGTGAAGGTGGGCACAAGGACACAGGCTGTTCTCGAAAGCAAACCCGTGGTCGAATGTGAAGTTACACAGCGGACACAATCAAAGGAGAACCGAAGGTGAAAGAACGAAAGAGAAGAAAAGAAGAAAGTTAGTGAAAACTTTTACTCAGAAGTGACGACTGTATTAACAGTATCATTAGAAAATTAAATGATCCATTTTTAAAAGAGGAAAACTGGACTACTTTCATCACACACAACTTAACAGGTACAGCCTGATTCAATTAGTATTTCCTGACTGGTTGCAAACGGACCCTATGAAACTCAGATGGCATTCTTACTTTTAAACCTGGTTGCTAACAAACATTGAAAGTATCACTGAAAAGGCACACTGAGTCATTGGCCAAAAACAGGCAGAATTTCCCTGGGAATTTAAGACAACTTTTCTTTTGTATATTAACTATGGAGAATGGAAGAGACTTGCCGTGACGCCGAGCTCTCCTGTTGGAAGTAGCCACTCTACTGGGTACACTGGTAGCGTGTTGCTGGTGAACACCAGTCGCTAAGTTGTGTCTGACTCACTGAGACCCCACGGACTGCAGCACACGAGGCTTTCCTGCCCTTCACTATCTCCTGATGTTTGCTGAAACTCGTGTCCACTGAGTCGGTGATGCCATCCAATCATCTCATCCTCTGTCACCCCCGTCTCCTGCCTTCCATCTTTCCCAGCATCAGGGTCTTTTCTAATGAATTGGTAGCATAATCATAAACTCTCCTGACACCTATTCAGTTATTGATGGATATTGTTTGATGTGATATCTGCTATTCTTAGTTAATTTTTAACCAAATCCTTTGTAGAATAGGATAAAGATTTTTTAACAAAGCAATGAAAAGGATTCAATGGCTCTCTCTACCTGCAGCACTTGTCCCTGCAGCATAAGGCAGGGCCCCCATGGAACCTGAGCCCTTCTCTCTGCTGGGGTTGGGAGCCATCACTGCAGGAATTCCTGAGACACTGGCAGTTACCTCTTCTAGCAGGCTCTTTATAAATTCATGTTACACATCTTTAAAATTTTCCAAGTTAGAATTTTGAAAACATTATAAATTTTCAAAGTAAAATTTCTGGAAATATTATAAATCCACAGGATGATTTTATTTCTTTTTCATGTTTACTTCCAATGTTACCTATTCAAAAGTTTCTCTGTGGCGTATGGAAAAGAGATCTGAAGGACTCAAAGCCACTTCAGATCAACTTCTAAGTGACTATACTTACACTTGCCCATGGTAATATAAAATAACCCAAACAAGTCTGAAAACACAATATAGGTTACTTCTTCATTCATTATGGCATGCACACCAAATAAGACTGAAAGCCATACACCATCTTCTCACACGGTATTCACAAAACAATTACTTTTTGCTTAAGAATTTCTTCTTCAGTGACAGATTATTAATGAAAAACCATATATTTCATAAATACCACCTTTCTTCATTTCAAAATGTTCAAGTCACTATCATAATTATCAAGACATAGGCTATATTTTAAAATTTACTTGAAACAAACTAAATATGAATTTCAAATTATAGCTTTTATAACTGGGGGGCTTAATTAAATAGGATGATTATAAAGATGGACAAAAGGTCAATAAATTACTTACTTGGATTAAAGTAATTTACGTTGAAATATTTTGCTTTGAATAACAACCAAAAAAAGGTTAGAGACTTAGTCCAAAACAGCAAGAGTCTACACACGTATGAAAGGTGGAAACTTTTACCAACAGAAAATACAATGACTGATTTTAGATGATACCTGAGTTCTGAAACAAATGCAGTAGACAGCCTCTGATCTAAGCACACATTTAAAACTGCATATTCCACTAATTCACCATACCTTTCCTTCAATGAGCGGCATATGCGGGGCTTTAGCTGGGCTTCTCAGGTCCCTTCTGCCATCACCATCTTGTACCACGGCAGTGCTCACAACTCCAGGGCCTTGTGCTGAAACCTCCCCAGCAGGGCCAGGAAAATCCTTCATAAGACTTTGGTCCACAGCATCAATTGGAGCTAGTGACAAGTGATCATAGGGATCACGTTAGGATGTTTAAACGAGAAAACGTTATGAAAACCTCCCTTTCCAGAAAATCAGGCAGCTTATAGACAATTAATAGAAACTGGAAGATTCTTTTGATCGTGAAAATAACACATCAAATAAACTCATGTTTATACTTTAAAAAATACTCTGAATTGTAACCCATTATAATTACACCAAGAAGAGATACTGACCATGGAATTGGCCAGTAGGAGGCGCTCTAAGACCAGATGAAACACCAGAATCAGGGACGTACCTCAGAATTACAACGTGAGCAGTACTTCAGTTCTCTGGGGTTTCTTTAATCTTGCCTGCACTTATTTCTGAATCTATCTATTGTGAAATAATTACCTAATTATTAAAATGGTTTGCTTTAATAAATTTTAATAATTCCTCCATAAAGGAATCTTTAATTAGAAGACTAGACAAAATTGTGGCAAGACAGGAAAGGTAGATTTTAGAGAATTAACTTCTCTGTTTGTATTTACTGGTTTTTATTTTTCTAACCTCCCTCCTGAAAGCCTCGACTTGACCTTCAGCAAGCCTAATACATAGAAACCTTCTGCCTTAGCAAATCTGGCCTTTTGGGTCCCTTCATCTATCATACAGATGGGCAGGAACATGTACTGTATTGACATTTCTCTCATACGGCAGAGCAACCCAAGGTGGCCTCAGATCTCAACAAGGCCAAGTGAGCAGCAACTGGCAAAAGCCTCTATCTATCTTTAGTTTCTCCCCCAAAGAGTGGGACAACCACTGCAGTCATTTCACCTGCATAAAAAGCATCTTCCCGACACAGTATGGTTGGCTCTGGTTCCAGGCTCCCAGGGAAGCACAATAAAAACAGACCTTTAGGCTGCAAGCTCGTGAAGGGCAGGGACTGTGTGTGACCCACCATACTGAACTTGGGAAACATCTAGACCCCTAATTCATGTGTTACAAGAAGCCTTAATCCACACCCCTCACATGACCTGTCCAAACAGGTCTTTTCTAGTCTCACCTTTCACCAAATTACTGAAGTCAGAAACCTGGAAGTCTTTTCCTTTACCCCTCAACAACCAGCACGTCCAATAGAGTACTTGTATGTATTTCCAAACATGGCAAATACCTTCCATCTCTATTTTACCATCCAGGTACCTTTGAAGAGTTTCATGGCTTTTAAACACTCAATACTTTGGAAAGCCTGCACCAAATCCAATTAAACATTAAAACAAATTCACATCATACATTAAGTATAATTATTTTCTAGAGTTTTTCTGAACTTTTAAAAAGATTTTAATAATTTTTCCTTGAAAAGTTTATGGCTTGAGTAACTCTTTAACCTAAGATTATGGTCCCTACGCACTCATTATGCATACTCAGAAACTTACTGCAAAATGAGAAACTCTGACCTAGAAATGGTTTTAAATGTAATGATATCAAATTTTAATAAATATCAAATTTAAAGTTATATCATGAAGTTGGCAAGATGTTGGCACTGCATACTTTTATTAAACAGTTACTGATGTCAGTTTGCTGCTATTAAGTTTTTTCAGGTCTTAAACCTTTTTAGAACCCTGAGATTATAAACCCAAGAAGCTGAACCTTCAGTGCCAAATGGCTAATTGTACCATCTGAGACAAAACCACCATGACTCACCAGGACTGTGCCTAACCAGTCGGCCTGAGCTTCCTCCCTCATCCTCTCCAATTGTTCTAGACACGGCATTAATCAAGTGTTGTTTTTTTTTTAAAGACAGCACTGTACACTTCATGGCAAGCCAAATAGATGGGAAAACAATGGAAACAGTGAGAAACTTTTATTTTCTTGGGCTCCAAAATCACTGCAGATGGGGACTGCAGCCATGAAATTCAAAAATGCTTGCTCCTTGAAAGAAAAGCTATGACCAACCCAGACAGTATTAAAAAGCAGAGACGTTACTTTGCTGACAAAGGTCCCTCTAGTCAAAGCTATGGTTTTTCCAGTAGTCATGTATGGATGTGAGAGTTGGACCATAAAGAAACCTGAGCACCGAAGAATTAATGCTTTTGATCTGTGGTGTTAGAGAAGACTCTTGAGAGTCCTTTGGACTCCAAGGAGAGCCAACCAGTCAATCCTACAGGAAATCAGTCCTGATTTTGGAAAGACTGATGCTGAAGCTCCAATACTTTGGGTACCTGATGCGAAGAACTGACTCATTGGAAAAGACCCTGATGCTGGGAAAGATTGAAGGCAGGAGGAGAAGGGGATGACAGAGGATGAAATGGTTGGATGGCATCACCGACTCAATGGACATGAGTTTGAATAAGCTCTGGGAGTTGGTGATGGACAGGGAAGCCTGGCGTGCTGCAGTCCAAGGGTCGCAAAGAGTTGGACACGACTGAGTGACTGAACTGACCTGAACACTTATGTGCTGCCACAAATGTGTACACATGTCTACGTATGAACACATACAGTCTTCAGTGGTTCCCTGGAACAAAAACCACATTCCCCACTAGAGCCTGCAAGGTCCTGTGTGATCTGTTCCCAGCCTGCCTCTCCCCATCACTAATCAGCTCTGCCTACAGTTGCCTTCTTTCTGTTCCTGGAATGTATCAAGCTGTCCCCAAACTTACGACCTTCAGACTTACTGCTACTACTGCTGCTACCTGGAATCTTTATCTCCTTTTCTACTCTCTCATCCTTCAAGTCTCAACCCAAATGGTGCTTCCTCAGACAGACCATCCCCAGTCTGTAATGTCCTTCATCACACTTTCCACTTTCAGGAAATCATGAGTTCCCTGTTCTCACATGCATCCTGGGTGTTAGCACTCTCAATGACTGATTTGTCTCATTTCAGGTTTTATTGTGCAATCCTGGAAACTCACTGTTCTAAATTAGCTATCTAGGTTGATTTTTATTTGATATTTGATCTTTAGATATCACACAGAGAGTAAAAATCAATGAAATCACTAGTAAATTTATTTTGTCAAGCCTTAAATTGAAGAATATTTATATATCTAAATAGTCTGTTTAAAAACAGAAAAAACAAACTACAATACATATAAATAACAACAAAAAAAGGTATATTGATGGTGTGGTGAGGAAAATAAAGCTTAGTACCAGGTTACAGCCTAGCTTTGCTCTGAAGGGAAAAAAAAAGAACATAAGCCCTAACCAAATAGTTCCCGTCATGTATTGGCATGAAAAGCCTCCTATTTTTCACAATAACACAATAATCCTTTTGATGACTTGCCCATCTGATGAATTACAGTGTCCTTAACACAAAAGGAAAAATAATGGATTACTGTGGCATGTTTGTTGCTTTTACTTGTGAAAATCCTTGTTTTTGGATACAGACCCACTATCACCCGATGCCCTCACTGCCCGTACAAGACGGCGGGCTTCCTTGAGCACGGTCATACACTTCCAAGGAAAGGCACTGCTTTACTGCTCTTTTCCAGCTCTAAACACTCACCACATATGAGCTATAAAAACCTCACAGTTTAAAAACAAAGGCTGAAACAGACAGTGTGACAGAAAGAGGAATGACTTCTCTCAAGGCATGAAACAACACTGATCGCATTTATTCAGCACTTGTATAAATTCTCTGTGGCAAGGGGCAAGGCTTGTGAAATATTTACACAAGCGGGCACATTCTTTGGATTTACTTGGAAAAAAGTGCTCAGTTGTTGATGAGCTGAAAGATACTCTGACAACTATCATACACCAATAATTCATTAAATCTAAATCACTACATTTGGGGATGTGGACATTTATTCAAACCACAATTTATGATCCCGTTGCACATTTTTTCTGTGGCCTCATAAATTATATGAAAGATTCTCCAGAAGATTCAGTAACTATATATACCAAAATGCCCACCAAATTATCTGTATGTCTGCCCAGATCTGTTTCCTATGTTGATTCCAGGAAAAATACATCTAAGCCAATGAATGTCAATCCTTCACTAATGAGAGAAGATTTTTTTCATCTATTAGCATATCCAGCCTGCTTTAGCTAATTATATGAAACATAAGTCGTTCAAGTTTGTATTTCAGAATGATTATCAGCAATATTAATAACAATCAAAAATAGGATTTTGCTGATAAACAGCAGTAAAATAGAACTTAACCAGTTCAACATTGAAGGATCTTTTGCATATATGTTTTGAGATTAAGCAACCAAAAAATGTTGGGAAACTACTTTTGGTAGAAAAGCATCCATACCAGTTACTTGCTAGTAGGTAGAAAGGAAGAATTTTTTTTAATATCTTAAAAAAAAATCTCAGCTTTTTTATAGAAAACCTGCTATTAACCCAAAATTAGGGTAATAAGATATATATATATGTAAAATGAAGGGAAGCAACATCAATTTATTTCCATGTGTAATTTATTTAAAAACTACAAATATGTAGCTAATTAGAATTCGAATAGAAAAAATTTATACAAATTTGTACATGTCTTTCCTGGGGTGTAAGAACAGATGAACACATAGTATTTCCTTTCTTGTTGTCAGAACACTGTACTTAAACTAATCCTTGAAGCTGTGAATGGTCTCCTACATGCTAGAATGTCTGTTAAGCTTTATAAGAGTTTTTAAACCTAAAACCATGATGATGCAATGAATGCTTTGCATTCCTTTGAATAAAGGGTCTATATATGCTACCACATCAAAAACCCAAGTTTGCCATTAATTAATAAGTTCAAGAAATTAAATCACACAAAATACATCACAATTAAGAAGTCTGTCCAACATCTCATCAAAAACTCTAACATCTGTGTGTTTTGACAGTGCCAAGAAAATTTAGGTTCAGAACGACAACTTCAAAACACTATAAAATTATTTTCATCTAAGTGTAAGTAATAGTATTTTATTTACTCAGGGGAAAAGAAATATCTAGAGGCTATCCCTCTAGGTATTTCTAGGGGCCTTGTTAATAACTAGTTCAATATTTTCTAATCCCAATGGATTAGAAAAAGATGACCAGAATTCAGAATCCTAATACAATAAATGTGTTTACCTCCATCTAGACTCCTGGAGACCCGTTTACTAGAAGTGCGTTCGAAGTGTGGCGCTGGCCGGTCAATCAGGCTGCTGGCCTGGCGGGTCTGTGCCTGCGTACGGCCGCTGTAGCGGAATTTGGACCCTAAGGTCAAGAACTTGGCCTTTGGTGGCTGCTCTGGAGACACAAGCCTATGAAAGTGGGGAAGGGGAACAAAATTAAGACTTCATGGATTTTTTTTTTAACTTCAAAACTATATATTTAATATCTCACTTCATTAAGTATGATTATTTGGTCTAAAAAAAATGCTGCTTAAACTAATAAAAGTGAACACTGTTTATAAACACTCCTATATACAGAGCTTTATGATCATGATAAGATGAATAAATCCTCATTCATGTATTCATGAGTAATATGTTTTCCTCAACCTGAGCAAAAACGCAGCTGTTCTTTGTGTACCAAAGGTTATTTATTTGCATTAACTTAAATCATTTATATAAACACATATGCCTGAATTCTTGCTCTTAGCCTTAAGTGCCAAGCAGCAATCCATTACCATTAGCAATTCTTAATATTTATGTCTATTTCTCTGGGAAAGAACATCTAATTCAAGAATCTGTTCCATCAAGTGATGCTCTCCCGTAAAGCACACAGCAGCTCTGCAGAAATGACTAACACCCTTTATTGGCAGCACGATTCTGCTGCTTAAACCCCGGGTCCATAATGAATGAGGTAAAACTTTACTGATGTCAACCACTTCCAGACTTATGTGAAAACACATTTTTAGTAAATGAGCCAATCTTGTCTGGTATACAACCGAAATGATCTTGCTTTCACTGCCTGATCAAAAGCTAGCAAAGCATTTTAACAAAACAGATAATCCCAGAGCTCTCAGAGAATGTATTAAATAAGACAACTTCAGTTGACAGTCTCAGAATATAGAGAACTCCACCAAAATTTTTCTCATCGTTCTCCAGAGAAGCATGATTTCTTAAAGGGTTCTTTACTGTATCAAGTATGTCAGGCATTTCTGCTCAATTTTTAGAAATCTTGTGCTTAACAAGCAATGAAGAGAGATTCAAGTCTAGGGTAAAGCCACGTATAGTAATTCAAGAAGTGGCTTCCCATTGATTCAGAATTCTCAATCGTATTAACCCAGAAATACAACATGTTAGAATGAAACTGATGAAAAAAGAACATTTGGCTTGAGTCTTGTCATGGGGGGTGGCAGAAGTGTTTCTTGAGAACATCCATTTTATGCAGACCTTCAAAGGAGATACAGAAGCTGCTGCTGAGAAAGCAAAATCTGAAAACACTGGTGCCTCAAACTACACTTTGGAAAAAGCCCTATATTCTTAAATTAGAAAGCCAGAATGTTAAGACATTTAGACAGGACATGAACTCTTATCTGTGCTCTGTATTCTGTTTCTCTACATGGAAGAAACCGAGGCACTGAAAGCCTAAACCAACTATGAGGACCAGGGGCCAGGTGAGAAAGGGGGTCATTTACCATGTGCTGCCTTCTGATCGACTGATTATGGTAGGTTTCCCTACCTGGCAATCCACCTAACTATGGTCAAAGAACGCTATGTAAGAAAGCAGTTATGTATAGAGAAAAGGGTCATTAACAAGCTCATCGGTGCAGTAATTAACAGATGCTCATTCTCCTTGAAAAACAAGTTGACAAATTCGCATTTATTTTCATCATCTATTTATGAAGTATGCTCTGTAGGTACTGAGAGACAAGTACCTACAAAAAACCAGACATTTGTAAAAAAATATCTCAAAGGAGAAATATGCATTGATGACCCAAAAAGAAATACACCCTGCTCCACAAAATTATAAAAACTAAAGACAACCAATGCTGGAGAGAATGTGGAATAGCTGGGACCCCTGCATGCTGTTGGTAGGATGTACAAAATGGTGCAGAAGATGTGTAAGACAGTTGGAAGGCTCCTCAAAAAATTAAAAATAGAAATATGACATGATTCATCAATCCCACACATGGGTATTTTTCTAAAAGAACTGAAATCAGGATCTCCAAGAGGTAAGAGCATTCCCATGTTCAATACAGCAATGGTCACAATAATTAAGATGTGGAAACAATGTAACCATCCATTGATAAATAAATGGATAAAGGAAATACAGGATACACATAAAATGGAACACTATTCATCCTTAAAAAAAGAAGAAGGAAATTCTGCAATATGTGACAATAAGGATAGACCTTGAGAAAATTACGCTAAGTGAAACAAGCCAGACACAGAAGACAAGTACTACATAATTCTGCCTATATGGGGTATCCAAAATAGTCAAATTCACAGACTCAAAGACTTGAATGGTGGTTCCCAGGGGGTGGGAGAGGGGGCAATTGAGAGTTGTTAATCACTAGGAAAAAACTTTCAACTAAGTAGGGTAACATCTGCTCAGTCATGTCCGACTCTTTGCAACCCCATGAACTCTACAGTCCGTGGAATTCTCCAGGCCAGAATACTGGAATGGGTAGCCTATCCCTTCGCCAGTGGATCTTCCCAACCCAGGAATCGAACCAGGGTCTCCGGCATTGCAGGCGAATTCTTTACCAGTTGGGTTATGAGGGATGCCCCATGTACCAGTCAGTAATACTACTAAAAATGTGTTAAGTGATCCTGCCACCATAAAACAGAATTATTTTAAAAGGAGAAGAACAGACTAGAGGCAAAGAGGAGGGTGAGATTGGACTATCTGGCAGCCTCTGCCTCCTCTGCTGACTGTAACTCAGCCACAGGCCACACCGTCCCAGAACCAGCAGCTCCATTTGAGCATTTTCTCTTATGTCCAGTTTGCAAAAAATGTAAATCCAAGAAATACAAGAAAAATATTTTAAATCTAAGAAATGCAAGATGTAAGTCATAATGCAAAAGGCAGAAAGCCGTTAGCCACAGGATTTTTATTTTACATCACATTGAGATAAAAGGGCTTTCTTGCCCAACTGACAGTGATGACCACATACACCAAGTATTAGCTTACAGATTAATTTCCTGATCAAAGAAATCTTTAAGCAATTAAGCTACAATTAAACAGAAACAGACATCAAAACAAAACAAGACAAAAAGGGTTGAACACAAGCATTTATGAGTTTTCTCCAACAGAATTTTTTGGTGACTTAAGTCAGTGGTAATGTAACTCCTCTGAAATGAGTGTATTAGAGCAGTCTTGAAAGTAGACAAACAGCACACTATGCTACCAAACTAAGAATAATGATAAGAGTGACAAACATTATTACATCCCAGAAATGGTTCTAAGTTTGTTTCATGTGGGCTATACCGTTCACTTTTCAAAGCAACCCTATAATGTACGGACTATTGTTACTACCATCACATGAATGATGAAATGGACATTCACAAAGGTTGAGTAACTTACCCTCGTCACACATCTAGGATGTGGAGGGACAGCATTAGACCTTAAGAGTACAGAGCAGAAACTTTAAACATGAAGGGTATAGTACAGAGCTGTCTAGACTGCAGAGATAGGAAGCTGAGGCAAGGGAGAAAAGACCAGCACAGCGCACTTTGCTAAGAAAAGTGAAGTTGAAAATCATGCCCATGAATAAAAGTACGACAGAAGACAGGACGAAAGCCACAGGAGGCTGATCAGTCTGAGGAGATCTTCTGGGGTTTTTTTTTTGTTTGTTTCTTTCTTTTGTTTTTAAGAGAACAAGACACACACACATTTATTGTCCAAAAAAGATGTCAAAGGTACCCACTGAAGGGCATGATTCACAGAATGCAATCCTACATGAGGCCTGGGATCATGGCAGAGGAACGACTCCTCTTCCTTGAGACAAGACAGGAAGAATGAGTGAAAGAGAGAGAAATGATGCTTAGTTATACACAAAAAGAGAAGATGCATGAAACCAAGAACACTCATGACCCACAGCATCTACTATCAGTGCACCCCATGATGGAGGGCATCTGAACAGTGGGGCAGGGGGCTGAAGAAGACCATGCACATTTGTGATGGTGGCCCTGAGGATCCAGCCAAGGTAGGGAATGACTGCTCTGCGACAGCATCAATCCACAGAACTGTGCGAGTGTGTCTATGAGAATAGTTATTCTATTGAAGGTATTATGTGGCAAGCACAGGTAGAGAAACGATGAGATCAGGACACGGGATTAATCCAGAGCCAGGAGACTAGACGCTGATGTGCAACAATGACCGGGGTTAAGGGGGTTAGAACACTCCTGACAGACTAGCCAAGGGGCAGGGTCCAGAGCTGGTCTTGCTGGGAAAGAAGTGAAAGCAGAGAGAGTGGTAAGAGCAGTTAAGTGACACCCAGTGACAGCGGAAGAAGGGCCAAGGCGGGCGGGGAGATGGAAAGGCAGCTGGACTTCTGGACCATGGCGGAAGACCAGTTCCAAGCCGAGAGGAGCACGGCCAGGTGACAGAGACAGGTGCACAAATGGGGAGCCTGCAGAACTGCGCAGGAGTGGCCGTGTCTGCCACTCTATCCGCTGCCACCGCCTTGGATCTCGAGGGTACCCAGGGCTGCTCACGTGACTCCCAGGCTGTTTTCTCAAATTACCTGTAGAAAGTATGATGTTCCACACACACCTTCCATAGCCTTTTTGCTGCCCGATGGTTTGGCAGCTTAAAGCCAATGGTGCTCTCGAACTGTTCCAGCTAGAATAAATCCATAAGACAAATCAGCATGTCTCCTTAAGAGCAGATCAGAAGTTCCTGAAAATCATGGGCTCAGATATCTCACTAAAAACAAATTGTTCCCCCTTGAAAAAAAGGCAAATACCAACCACTGACATAAACCAGCTATCCTTTAATGTCCACTAACATTCATCTCACCACCTCCCCATCCAGGGATCTTGACCACTTAGCTGATTCAAAAGAAAAACGAACCTCCCTGGTGTGGCAGGCGCATAATACTTTCTCTCCTCTGTGAAACTGTGGCTGATACTTGTTTTCTTATCAACAGGAATATATATGCAAGTTTATCATCAAAACCCTGATGGGACTTTATTTTTTTAACCACAGAGGAATAAATAATAGTTCATTTTCTTAAAACTCAATGGAAAAGAATTCTTCTAGCTCATGGCCATAAGGGAGAACACTGACAAAGCCCAGTTAGATATGCCCAGGGCTACGTGACTCTGCTTACCTCTGCTGGTCTAACTTTAATGTAGAAGTTACTGCGCTTATAGGAGATTTTCAGGATTTTCGGCCAAGCGAAACGATTGATTCTCAGCCTGTCTTTGTAGATGAGGAGTCCATTAGCACATACACCCAGCTTGATGTCCACGCCTTCTGAGTCCTGCCAAGAGAAAGCCATTTGACCATGATTAAAGCTATGAAAGTTATACAGGCTGGAAAACCAACCATCTCCCTCAAACCATGATCAAGAATGCCAGTTTAACGGGCCTGTATTTCAATTTCAGCAACAGTACACGTGTTAACAGAAGCAGTAGGAGACATGACACATCCTCAATCTAGATACTCCACTGGACGGGCCAGACGTTAGGTATGGCAACATGGCTACAGGATGCCGTGTCCTTCACAAGGCCTCACTCATATGTTCTCGAGCTTGGCTGCAAAGCCCAAAAGGGAGGAAACAGACCTCGATTTAGACATCCTGAAGCGATGGAGAGAAAACTTGTTTTGTGAGAGGCTGTTTCAGCTCCTGAGGACAGTGTATCAGCCTGCCCTAAGGTCAGTCAGCCATTTTACTGTAGGCAAATTTACCTCAGATGGACTATGCCAACTAATGGCTGTTAAATAACGCCTATAGTCTGCAAAACACCAACCTCTCACAGACAGTTTCTATTCTAGGCTGACAGTGCTGAAATCTTTGAATTCTTTCAAGCAGTTTTCCAATAACTCTTAAGTGCTGACATCTAGTTTTCATTACAACATTCCTTTAGCTAGCATATTTCAAAGGATGGTAGACTATTCTTAAACTTATTAATACTGTTTTCTTTTCTCAGTGTTTTAATTTGAAAAAGATAACCATCTAGAATAATCATCAGCCTGAAAGACATTTTTAAAAATCAAATACATTTACAGACAAAAGTTAAAAAAAAAATTGTCTCCTCATATTTCAAGTAGTATTGGAAGATCTAATATATATAATACTCAAGGATCTTTAAAAGAAGAACTAGATCCCACTCAAGATATGAAAAATTATTCAGAGATATTTACATATTCAGAAATCATTAATAACAGAAAAATTCTCACAAAATATGCTAAAACAAACCCCATACAGTCTAGGTTCAAGTCAATAAATGTGTAACATTTCAACTGTCTTGTTACTGAGAACAATTAAATGCAATTTTTATCTGTTTTTTAAAAACAGAAGTACTAGGTGTGTGTGTGTGTGAGTTGCTCAGTCATGTCTGACTCTTTGTGACCCCATGGACTGTAGCCTGCCAGGCTCCTCTGTCCACGGAATTCTCCAGGTAAGAATACTGGAGTGGGTAGCCATTCCCTCCTTCAGGGGATCTTACCGACCTAGGGACTTAATCACGATGCAAGCAGATTGTTTACCATCTGAGCCACCGGGGAAGTCCACAGCGATAACTGATGTCAACTATATTCACCGCTGTGATATGTGAATAATTCATATGTATAAATAATATCACATTAGACCATCTGAGCAGGTTTAAAAACCTCATCTATCAGGTGCTTTTATTCACTGATATCCTGATAATCACAGTCCTCTCTAGGAACAGAGTGAAAGCTGGACTGAACCAGTCACACGTACCCAAGCAACATGGCACCAGCCACAAAAGATGCATTTGCTCAAAACATCACTAACCAAGGCCAAAGGGAGCGGCCGGAAGACTGCCCAAGACAGCATGTTCTCTGCACGAGGAGGGAGGCAACCTTTGTTTGAAACATTCAACAAAGCCATCACCAGTGTGAGGTAATCTTTCAACCGGACACTGAAGCTACTTTATCTGACTTAAAAATAAACACAATCTGGATCCAAGTTAATCAGTTGATTTTCGACTGTTCCACATATTGTTTTAGAATTATCAGTATCTGTATGAATAGAAATTACAGATAAAGAAGCTAAAGGGAAGAAAGCCCTAGTTCTCCATGGTTGACTTCTGCCACTCAGCAACAAAGTCAATAAAATAAACTAATAAAAAGGGAACACTTTCCTTCCTTCCTTCCATCCGCCGTGCTCACTGCCTCAGGAAGCCACCCCACGCGGGACATCAACAGGATCCCACGCCCACTGACGTCCAATGGCTTCAGCCGATGGGAAGTTCTCAGATATGATCAGAGAGGAGAAGCCAGAAAGGCCAGGGGTTTTAACACCCAGACTCCCTCCCTGTGTAGTGGCATCAGGGTGGCTCTGTCCTTGACAATCGCAGCTCCCCTCAAGCCCTCTCCACACAGATTTCTCCCCTACTCTCTGCCTCACCAATCCACAGCCAGAAGGTTAGGAGAGAAGCTGTTAACAGCTCACAGATATCATTCTGCTCTTTGGTTTCCATCTGTCTTTGTCAAGAGCCCTTTCATTCAACATCCTCACCTTGTCCTGACAAAAGTGTGCCATTAAAAACTCTTTTGACAATAAAATAGTAATTAAAAACTTATAAACGTGCTCTCAAGCCAATGAAAAATATATAAACACACAAAACTTTAAACTACATGAAAAGTGTTTTTAAATTGCTACAGATTTTTTTTTCAATGAGCTACAAATATCTTGCTCATCAGGTATTATCTAACAAGTCCATCAGATGATATATTGAATAAATGCATGTTATTCTGACTTTTTAAAAGTGATATACTCCTAACCACACAGTAAGAACTGAAATTATAACAAAACCAGCAACTTTTTAACTTTTCTAACATCAGTTCAGTTCAGTTGCTCAGTCACGGCCGACTGACTCTTTGCGACCCCATGGACTGCAGCACGCCAGGCTTCCCTGTCCATCACCAACTCCCAGTGCGTGCTCAAACTCATGTCCATCAACTTGGTGATGCCATCCAGCCATCTCATCCTCTGACATCCCCTTCTCCATAACTTCAAAAACAAGAATCCCAAAACCTTCCAGGATTACCATCTAAAAACTGGTTTCTCACTAATCATCAACAAAAGCAGCAGATGGAAGATTCTCGTGTGGCAAGAATAACAGGGTTTAGAGGCGATATGGGTTCTGGGGGCCTTTAGGATACCAAATCTGCTCTTTCCTCCCTCCCTTAGTTCTGTGTGTCTGCTGACTCCACCTGTCCCCATCATACAGAGAAATGAGCTACAAGACACTGATCTGTTTCACCTCCTAGCAGGATGCGTCAGCAAACATCACACAGATAGGGCCACTTTATACTATGTGGCTGGGGGCAACAAGCCAGCTAGTGTAACAAGCCAGCTGCATTGTTTTATGTCGTTTTTGTAAAAATGAAAACATCCAAACCGTAAATAAGATAGTATATGTGGAAGTGTTTTTACAAATTAAGAGGATAGAGCATCTAGCAGTTAAAAGTGTTGCTGTCAGAGACTATTTACTAACATGGAACAGTGTTTTCTAAGAGCAAGTTAAAAATTTACAAAATAATACACATAGTATAATCCCATTTAAAAAATGTGACATTGCTCAGATTTTTTTTAATAAAACAAGAAATTTAAAAAAAAATCAACAGTGCTTTTTTCTGCATAAACCGATTTCAGCCTTTTTATATTCTGCTCACCTCTATTTTCTATGATGAATGTGTATCTCTCTCATAATAACAAAAAAACATTTAAAGAAAGAAGGGAGACACAGAGGAAAAGGCAATTCTTTGCAAATATGAAGTACTATTAACACAAAAGCAAGAATTAATAATCTGAGGCCAAGAGAGAGGATATCTTTGAGTGAAGGGCTTTCCTAGAGATTTCTCAAATCCTCTAATTCCTATAACCTGCACTTCCTAACACGGAAGGATTGGCAGGGTGTTTTAAAAGCAGGCAACAATAGGGTCCCATCTCATGTTGAGTTGATTCTGGATATATTGTTCAAAACCAAATACATCTTTCACCTTATCTTTTGTACCCCCAACCCCACTCTCCATCCCGACTCTCCCTACTACCTGATCATGAAAATTAGGATCATTAAGTAGGAGACGTTTTTCAGACACGAGGCAGCACTTGGCAGAGCAAAAACTGGGACACAGAGTAAAGACAGAATGAGGAGTAAAGACGGCTGATCAGGTGAGTCTTACAGTAAGTATATATGAAAAGGGATCAACTCATAACATTGAGAAAAGAAGGAAGAATACAGGGGAGAATCAATGGTCCCGCCTCACAACCAGAAACCCCAAGGAACTACTATAGAGGCCCTCGGGTGAGGGGCAGTAGCCTTTGCTAAAAGTGAAGCAGGCTAGTTTAAAACCGAAGCCCTCTCAGAACTTCAGTCAATAGACCAGGAAGAGGCAGCTCCCCGTCACACTCCCAGTACCTTGGCATGGTGCAGGTCAACACCGTACATGGAAAGCCTCTTGGCGTTTTCTAAGAACTGAGAGTCAGCTTGTGCTGGAGATAAGCCCCTAAGGATCAAAAGAAATAACATTATCCTATTGGTGGATGCAAAGCAAATATAGCCAAAATGGGGAAAGGAGTGCATAAGCTTAGAGTTTAGGACAAAGGGATTGGCCCAACTAAATGCACAGACAAGAAAGAAACAGGTAAGAAGGCTCGACCCTCAACCTCCAGCATTTTCTTCTTGTTGATGTTTTCAGTCACCACATCAAGTCCAACCCTTCAAGACCCCATGGACTGCAGCACGCCAGGCCTCCTTGCCCCTCACCATCTCCTGGAGTTTGCCCAAGTTCATGTCCATTGCATTGGTGAAGCCATCCAACCATCTCATCCTCTGTCACCCCCTTCTCCTCCTGCCCTCAATCTTTCCCAGCATCAGGGTCTGTTCCAATGAGTCGGCTGTTCGCATTCTCAATAGGAACCTACTCATTGCAAAGAGGTGCCCCTCCACCCTCACCCTTTTTATCTTAGAAAGTTGCTTTCATTTTTTTTCTACTAGGGAAAAAAGCCCAGCAGTAATGGGTACAATACAAATTAACTTTAAAAATAAAAGAATATAAAGTCATTGTGTATTTCTGAGTAGACAAATATTATTTCACTAGGACTGATCATACTAAAGATCAAAAGTACCTGTACTCGATTTTACAGCTGACATACCCCAACTAGACAAATCTTAAGCTCCTAGAAAGCAGACTTCTGTTAATCTTCATATTTTCCATGGCATTTCAGCACCTGGTATTTCAAATTATATGATACATGGCTACTGAACAGAATTGGAATAAAGTTCTTAAAATATTTAAAGTCAAAAACTGCATTTATTTTTTTAAAGACAAGTCAGTGAAGGTGGTCTGTTAAAAACCTCTGATCTCTGAAATTTCCTTTCAAATCATTTCAATCAAAATTTTTGAAAAATTCAATTTTGCAATATGGGACTTGGTCACTGGGAGTTTTAAAAACTTGTGCTTAAGAAAGCCATTTGTTTTCACACAGGTGTAAAAGTTCTCAAAGTGTAACATGGTATTTAAGTAATTAATAATCCTCAGCTAAACCAAAGTCATCCTCTGTGGACAGAGGAACCAACTGTAGATTCACTCCCTTTGTGTCCACTGCCACTCACATTTCTGATTCAAATCCTGATGCTTCATTATCTCCTTGGCTTTCTCAAATAAGGTGATAAAAACAATTAAAAGGCAGAAGAAATGCATAATAAGTGCCAAACAAGTACATATGTTTGTGTCAAGGGCGCGTGTGTGTGTGCACGCACACACGTGTGTATGAAGGGAGAGGACTGGGATAGGGCAAGGAGATGTCATAGGGAAATGTAAGTATTTCCGATAAATGAAAACAGCCCCGTGAGCACAGTTCCTTGTATTATAGTCATAAAGACAATGAGGATATTTCAATGACTCCAAGTTGTCTTGACCAGTCCTAGGTGAATCACAAGGGCAAACTGATGAATCCTGTCAGCGATACCCAAATGTCTAGCCAGTGCTCTAAGGGAAGTCATCTGAACCCACCAGGGCCACTGTCTCCCCAGGAAGCCAGTCTACAGACCTGTGGGTCTTATGCAGCTCTGCCACCTTCTCTTCCAGCTCTTTTGTCTGTGTGGGGGCAAACTGGAAGTCACTGAGGTCATGACAGGCATGCTCCTCCGGGTCATAGTCCCCAAGCTCAGCCTGCAGAGTGTAAGATCCCAGGAGGGCGTGAGTCACAAAGGAGCAGGGCAGGCGACCCGAGGCAATGTCCTGCCGGAGCTGAAGGCACAGGAAGTATCTGAATAGAGGGGAAGAAAGAGCAGAGCGGACAGTTAGTCGAGACTGGAGCACTCGTAATTCCGATATTCCTTTGGAAAAAAGTATACAATATGGCACTCTTCAAATCCAGAGCAAAAAAGTGTTCCATAACAAGAAGCCCAACGTCCTCCCTGGATTCCTGATTTTGTGACTTATTTACAGAAACTGAATCAGGAGGGCAAAGTAATAGATGGAAATTCTGAACTGCTACTCTGGCAACAGTGTATTTTTACTATTACAATAAAGAGTTTTGTGACTGCAGGTGAAATTCTAATCAGTTAGTCTCCTTGGACTTAAAACTAATCAAAATTAGCATGCCCTTCAAAAGTTGTAGAGATTAATAAAATTTAAGAAACAGCTGCAGTTTTTAAGCATTTTCAAGAAAAGCTAAGGCCACCCACCCTTTATTCTCTCTACGGTTTTCATGCTAATTTCTTTTCCTGAGATGCTTTAATAATAATTACAAATTACTCTATACTTGGAAGCCCTCACCCGCCCATTTACCCCATCCAAAGCAGCAGCTAATTCAGTTTACAGTAGAAAAGGCATGGGTTTGAGAGTCAGGCAGAGCTGATTATTAATTTACATGCCTAAGACTAACTTCTGGTCTGTAAAATGGGAGGAACTCTACTTTCCTTTGAAGGTAAGGGCAAAAAATTGGATAATATAAATAAAACACATAGCATGGTACCTGGGAATCAGTAGCTAGTAGCCATAATCATAATATTATATCATTCAAGGCTCCAAGTGGATTATTATACAGTTATAAAAAAAAATACTGGCTTTTACTAACTAACATGCAGAAACACATTATTTATACTCTGTGAGGATCTGGGTCTGGGTTGGGGGGGGGGGGGGGCGGTGTCTCCCTATCAACTCTTTGTGGTAACATTTTAAAACCCAATTTCTACTCTTAAATTTAACTACTTGCTAAGGTTACCATCAACCCCACCCAACAAAATGGCAGGAGCCTCCCTCCTGCTTGAAGACGGTTGAGAGACTACCATTCCTACGGGCTGCTGGCTTCTTCCTGTGGATCCTGTTCCCTGGACGTGTCACGGCCCTGTCCCCCTCTCGCCTCTGCCCAACGCATTCAGACAGACAAGCCGCTTCTGGTCCAGGACTCCTGTTGAGTCCGAGAACATGGCCCAGTACAAGGAATCAGCCATCCCCCAAGTCAATTTTCCAGGAATGACAAGTGTGCCATAATTTTCTTAAGGATGAAAGTCAGCTCACTATCACTGTTGGCATGGGGTTCAGGACAGGGTAGTGGGGGAACTGTGCTGTCCAGAGAGGGGGGCGGGGTAAAAAAAATCATAGTTCAACAGACTTCCAAAAATAAATTTTAAAAAAGTTTTTCATTTTTCTACCTTTGCATCACCTTTGTAATATAAGATCATTACACAGGCACACATGGGTTACACAATAAAAACCATCTTAAAATGGTATTAAAATTTGAAATATTAAGTACCAGTAATTTTTGACAGTATAACATAGGAAACAAAATTGCTGCAATTTTTTTAAAAATCCATTACTTGAATATAAGTGGGGAATTAAAGAAAAGTGAACAAAATTTTTGAAACTAGAAACAGTTCAAAGTATTTTGGAATATTCATTTCCTAGGAAACTTCTAAAACTCTACTCAAGAATAAATATTTTTGTTTTAATGCTAAAATTACCACCATTCCCCCAGGGCACAGAAATGAGAGCTGTAAGTAAAGAATCATTTTTAATAAAAATATAAAGTACCTGGTGATATCTTCAGTCAGTTGAGAAGGATCAGGAGGATAAAACTTCACATTAAAGCTGAACAGCCAAGGAAGATCTGTGATTATTAAAGACTATGATTATTCATCTGACCAACATAATGACCATTTATTTAAAGATAAAACTTAAAGGTCAATTGGTGTTCATATAGTATAGATCAGTTCCAACATAAATCAGTTTGGAGAATTTTGTTTCTTAATTTAAAGAAAATATCATTGACAAAGCAAAAATGAAATAAAAAAATAAAAATCATTTCCATAAGTAACCCATCATTAAAGAATAATAAGGTTCATTTTTTCATAAATGTTCACTGGTAGCCTCACATGTGAGGTACCTTTACATGGTGAGCTAGAATGCAAAAATTTTAATATAACCTTCACATAATAGTTTAAGATCTGTTTTAACCACAGGATCTCTAGATGCCAAATCTCCACACTTAAAAACAAAAAGAAATCTAGGATTTCTACATTGTTGGTGTTTCTAATGATCAATGTAACCATTCAAGAAATGATTAATGGGCTATTTGAGAGAGTGATAAAACATCATAACATTTAAAGATAATGAAAGTATTTCCCAGGTTTTATAAAGTAGGCTTAAAAATATGCACATATAACACACTTTGCTGTAGTGTGCCTAAAGAGTAAATATAGTAAGCAACCATGTCATAATGACTAACAAAAGTTAAAACATTGCTATCTATATTACCACATAACTAATGTTTGATTTATCATGCTTCAAATGGCTTTAAAAACAAATCAACAACGACAAACAGACACACACAACTCAGGGGACAGGGCAGGCATTATTTTCCAAAAGGGATCAAAATAATTCCAGTGGCCTGAATTTAGAGTTATACTCAGAGCTCACAGGTGTGTGTCTGTGTGTTATTTCATATACTATTTGAAAGCTTTACAGTTGCTTTCACTTTGGACTTGAAGAAAAATTTCTTGAATCCTATTCTCTTGCTCAAGGGGTCATTTTGTTCTTTTCTCACCATAGACACTCTGATTTTTCTCCCACTCAAAAGTCAATGAAGCTATCTGCAGGGCGGGGACAGAGACTCAGACATAGAGAACAGACTTACGGACACGGGGAAACTGACAGGGTGGGACAAACGGAAGAAACAGTGCTGAAATACACACAGCACCGCGTGTGTAACGGGGAGCTCACAGGAAAGTGCGGTACCACACAGGCAGCTGGCCTGGTGCGTCCGTGACGGCCCAGAGGGGAGGAGGGGTGGGAGGGAGGCTCCCGAGCGAGGGGACGGGGCATGCCCATGGCTGATGCATGCTGATGCATGGCAGAGACTAACCCGACACTGTAGGACGATTATCCTCCAATTAAAAATAAACTTTAAAAAAAGTCAGTGAATAGTTATTGAATGTCTACCGTGAATACGCAGCACCACATAGCACCCTTGCTGAGTCTGGGCTGAATACATCATTACTCTACTAATAAAAGTCAATCCTGCTGAATTTAAGCAACAGATTTTGCTTCCCTCTACACATTTAAAACATCATAAAAAAAGATATGGAACTTTTTTCAGTATTAAGAAACATGCCATTTTTTGGCCAGCAGCCTCAGATTGGCCGTGATGCATATGTACTTGTTAGAGGTCATTCCTAACCCGTAATTAAGCAAAGTCATCACAGAATTATCATTTCATTTTTTAATGGATCCTTATTTACTTGTCTTCTAGGTATTAACACTAGCACATGCTAACCAGGGCAGACAACAGAAATAAGTTTCTAATAGAACACACATTTCAGGATCTATTTTCAATTTTAAAGTTGATTAAAAATAAATAAATAAAGTTGATAAAATGCACCAATAATGCTCAACTTTTTATTTAGTTATATAGTATTGATATTATCATTTCTACCTAGCTATATAAACTGTATGTCTAGCTATGGATTGTTTACATATTAATATAGGCAAGCCTAAGATGCATAAATATAGTCTTATGTATCTATACAGTCTTACTTGTGTACATTTGCAAAAATGAAGATTCCGTGGTAGTTAATGTAAAGATTACGTGGTGGTAGTTAGTGTTAGCGGTTCAGTCGTGTTCACCTCTCTGTGACCCTGTGGGCTGTAGCCTCCAGACTCCTCTGGTCCATGGAATTCTCCAGGCAAGAATAATGGAGTGGGTTGCCATTTCCTTCTCCTGGGGATCTTCCCAACTCAGAGGTCAAACTCGGGACTCCTGCACTGCAGGCTGATTCTTTACCATCACGTAACCCAAAGAAAGGCAATGCCAAAAAATGCTCAAACTACCGCACAACTGCACTCATCTCACACTCTAGCAAAGTAATGCTCAAAATTCTCCAAGCCAAGCTTCAACAGTACAAGAACAGTGAATGTCTAGAAGCTCAAGCTGGATTTAGAAAAGACAGAGGAACCAGAGATCAAATTCCCAACATCTGCTGGATCATCGAAAAGAGAGTTCCAGAAAAACATCTACTTCTGCTTTATTGACTATGCCAAAGCCTTTCACTGTGTGGACCACAGTAAACTGGGATGGGAATACCAGATCACCTCACCTGCCTCTTGAGAAATCTGTATGCAGGTCAGGAAGCAACAGTTAGAACTGGACGTGGAACAACAGACTTGTTCCAAACAGGGAAAGGAGTACATCAAAGCTGTATATTATCACCCTGCTTATTTAATTTATATGCAGAGTACATCATGAGAAATGCTGGGCTGGATAAGCACAAGCTGGAATCAAGATTGCTGGGAGAAATATCAATAACCTCAGATATGCAAATGATACCACCCTTATGCAGAAAGTAAAGAACTAAAGAGCCTCTTGATGAAAGTGAAAGAGGAGAGTGAAAAAGCTGGCTTAAAGCTCCACATTCAGAAAACTAAGATCACGGCATCTGGTCTCATCACTTCATGGCAAATAGATGGGGAAACAGTGAAAACTGTGATAGACTTTATTTTCTTGGGCTCCAAAATCACTGCAGAAGGTGACTGCAGCCATGAAATTAAAAGACCCTTGCTCCTTGGAAGAAAAGCTATGACCAACTTAGACAGCATATTAAAAAGCAGAGACATTGCTTTGCCAACAAAGCTATGGTTTTTCCAGTAGTCATGTATGGATGCGAGAGTCGGACTATAAAGAAAGCTGAGGGCTGAAGAATTGATGCTTTTGAACTGTGGTGTTGGAGAAAACTCTTGAGAGTCCCTTGGACTGCAAGGAGATCCAACCAGTCCATCCTGAAGGAAATCAGTCCTGAATATTCATTGGCGGACTGACGCTGAAACTGAAACTCCAATACTTTGGCCACCTGATGCGAAGAGCTGACTCATTTGAAAAGACCCTGGTGCTGGGAAAGATTGAAGGTGGGAGGAGAAGGGGATGACAGAGGGTGAGATGGTTGGATGGCATCACTAATAATGGAAATGAGTTGAATAAACTCCAGGAGTGGGTGATAGACAGGGAGGCCTGACATGCTGCAGTCCATGGGGTTGAAAATAATTGGACACGACTGAGCGACTGAACTGAACTGAAAAAAGATTAATGCTTACCTCTTCTAGTTGTCTCTTAACTGAATAAAAAATCATAGCAGAGACTGGGCTAAGATAGAATAAACAGTTCTTTTGTCCATTTTAACACAAGCAGAAAGAGGTAAAAATACAGCAGCTAAAACTTCATTTCCTCAGCCTACTTTCATGCTCAGGATGGTACAGAACTTCACTCAGGAAACCAGCTCCAATAGTTTGGAAAAGCCAGATCCTATGTGTTAATGTTATTCCTCTTGCTAAACCATAAGGGCAAGTTCTGAAATAACTCTTTAAAAGAAAAAAGAAAGGAAATAAACCTTCACAAATAATCAAAATGTAAGACTGCAATTCATAATCAGCAAGAAAGTCTTGCCCTCTAAAAGTTAGGATAGCTCCATGACTCTGAAATGAGTAGCACATAAAAATAATCCAACAAAAGCCAGAACAAAACCATAGGAAACAAACTCAATAGAACATCAATCGTGTTTCAGAGGTTATTCTGTTCTGTCCACGGGTTGGGTCACTTGGCAGGTCTGGCTTCAGAGAAGTGAAAGAACCAAACATCTGTCTCTTGTGTGAATTCATGAACTTTGCCGAGTTTTAACAACTGTACAAAGGACTAGAAAAAGCTCCAAAGCTTTCTCATACAGTTTCGTACATAATGTAAGCACAATGTATCTATGTCTAATTACTACTTTTCTTTATTCTCTCCCTTTTCTATTATGGACCAAACGTAACTGGATAAAACATCAAGCTGATAAATGCAGGACAGAGGAATGGATGGAAAGCCAGGGGTGATAGTTAAAAGGCAGGGTGACCCCAGATGACACTAAAAGCCCCACAGCTTGAGAAACCCATCAGGCCCTTAGTCCTGGGCAAATCAGGAAAGTTACTCTAATCAATGCTATTTTTAAAACATGAAAAGAAAGATGAGTATACAAGGAGAGGAAATGGGAAAAAATAAATTATACACACAGAGTGGAAAAGGAGAGTACAAAAGGAAAGAAATGACAGGGAAAACTGCCCAAATGATCAATAATTTGAGACAGAGAGAGAAAGAAATGAAGAAAACAAATGCGGAGAATCAAAACTGAGAAAGTAGATGGAAAGAAATCGAAGGGAAAAGCAGAGATGTGTATCAGTGTTTTAATGCTGGGAAGAAATACGTAGGGAATAACAAACAAGAAGGGAAAGGAAACCAACAGTCCCAAGGGCACCCTGCCGGCCAGCACCCAGGGAAACAGCTTCTCCCTGGACAGCGCTGGGGCCCAGCATCCAAAGGGCCAGGAAGAAATCTGTTGTCTTGTCTAAACATTCCAGCTCTTCATGGCTCCCTGCCTTTTCTGCTTCAGACTTTAACAGACCCTGAAGTAAGTGAAGTAGCCAGATCCTCTATCAGAGATTCTTGTGTGATGCTAATGATTCCTGACGCAGATATCACGAAACCAGTCACAGGAGGGAAGTGAAGCTGGTTAGAGAGGGATACATCAGTCACTTAGGGAGACAACAGAACAAATGGGAAAATGGAAGACAGGGACAAGCAGGACCAAGAACAAACCCAGACTCAGAGCACCAGCGGTCCAAGGAGGAGGGATGGTTTTATATGATCTTCATCCCTCAAACCCTCACTCCAGGACATCTAGGAACACTGTATCCACATGCTTCTGGGGCCATAGGTCGGCTTATCAACTAACTGGCTGCTGCTGCTGCTAAGTCGCTTCAGTCGTCTCCGACTCTGTGCGACCCCATAGACAGCAGTCCACCAGGCTCCTCCATCCCTGGGATTCTCCAGGCAAGAACACTGGAGTGGGCTGCCATTTCCTTCTCCAATGCATGCATGCATGCTAAGTCGCTTCAGTCGTGACCGACTCTGTGTGACCCCATGAACAGCAGCCCCCCAGGCTCCTCTGCCCACGGGATTTTCCAGGCAAAATACTGGCAAAAACAACTGAAGGAGTTGCCATTTCCTTCTCCGAAACTAACTGGACACACTATCAAAATCAAGTACACAAAGCAAGGGTAACAGGGCTCCCTTAGGTACATTTTCTATAAAAAGGGCAAGTTACAGAAGAGTGGCTTTCCGTTGTTTTTCCCAGAGATAAAGATCAGGTGTTGCTTCACAGTGGTCGACAACGTGAGCAAATATTTAAGACAAAGGGGTCTAGAACCTCTTGACCAGTAGAGGAGTCCCTAAACCATCACCAAAGTAAACAGTCATAATTCTACAAAATAGTATGAGTTTCAACTTGCTATATGATATGAATGCAAGCTAGAGTCTATCATTCTATCACTATCTTATTCTAGCTTACATCCCTATGAATTTTACTAAAAAAAAAAAAAAGACATAAATATTAACTTAATAACTTCAAAAGTATGATGATCTAATACTCACTTCGCAGCTGTCTCTTTATTTCTTTTGCGGGATCTAGCCAGTTCTGCAAGGGGAGAAAAAAAGATTACTTAACCCATAAGAAACAGTCTCCATAGTCCAAAATGAAACAGTTGACAGTTCACATACTTATTTAAGTATAAACATATTTTAACAAAGTCCTATGCTATTAGCATTCCACTAGGCTTAGTACTGATTTGTTTTTGAAAGTGTATGTGTGTGTTATAAATAAAATATTGAAACACTTTAAGGTGGATCTCTTGGGCTTCATTTTCTAGGATGTGAAATCAAAACCCACCCAAATGAGAAGACATAATATATGTATATATAGTCTTTATTTTGCAGTGGAACAAACAGCAAACAGCCAGCAAACAGCCCCTGCAGACACTGAAATGATAGCTCAGTCAAGGACAACGATGGGCTCTTATTCATGAAGGACAAAATGTGCATTGGAAACCACGGGTTGAAAGCACATATACCCCAATCAAAAACAAATCTCAACTCCTAACGCCAAGTCCTCCTGAGACTGTGGCTTTTCCCTGCCTCTCTACAAGCCCATGGAGAAGCACTGTCAGACTGGAGCTGGTCTTCATGTAAGATCTTTTTTTTTTTTTTTTTTTATGATCTCTATTTTTATTTTATTTTCCCATTTATTTTTTTATTAGTTGGAGGCTAATTACTTTACAATATTGTAGTGGTTTTTGTAAAGCAACCTAGATGCCCATCAGCAGATGAATGGATAAGGAAGCTGTGGTACATATACACCATGGAATATTACTCAGCCATTAAAAAGAGTTCATTTGAATCAGTTCTAATGAGATGGATGAAACTGGAGCCCATTATAGAGAGTGAAGTAAGCCATGTAAGATCTTTTTAAATCTTCATTCCGAGTTAAGAGCCACAATCCTAAGGAACTTCTTTCTACTTCTCCTTTATTTCCACACTTGAAGAAAATTTTAAAAGATTCCAGGAAAACACTGTAATAGCTTAAAGGCAAAAAGACCAAATTTGAACTAGTAGGTTCAAATCATTTAAGGACATTAAATATTTGTCTTTCAAAGCTACAGGTGAAAGACATATACAAAAATAACTATATATACATATATACATACACACACATATGTTTATATATGCTATATGTTTATTTTTTATATGTCTCCTACCTTATCCTCAAGTCATTATTAAAGTTTACTTTATCCTTACTAACAGAATAATTACATTTTATGATAAAATGATTCAAATAACTGACTTTACAAAAAAATAAGTTTCATGCATTCTAAAAGCATCTCAAGTAATGTATTATAACATTCGTGTTTTAAATATTAATAGGATTTTATTCGCATATATAAAGCAAACAGTTAAAAGATTTATCGTTATAGAGAAAATTATAACCGACAATCTTAACAATGGGTACAATGGAACATCATCTTACACACTGTGAAGTAGTAGTGATAACAGGATGCTTTGAGAGCAAAAGCATGGGTCCTACTGTGCCATTCAGGGCTTACACTCGGGGCAGCAAGGACCCAAGGTGTGCATGCTCTGTTCAAACACTGGTTATATTCAACCCTCTCAACAAGGAGCTGCCAGAGCCTGGGCGAAGTTTCACAGGACTGCTGGCCCAGCTGTGTGGCCCGCTGAAGCGCAGGGCCTGCGGGACCCCCTCATGGGACCTCCACGGCTGTGGCAGGGCGCAGCTCTGCTTCTCCCCCGAGAAGACAGCCTGCATTCAGCTTCCCGGCCCTGCAGCTGCAGTCCACCAACAGCTGGCTCACAAACGGCGGGCTCTCATGAGGCCCAAGAATGAGAAAACACATCATTTAGTCTCCCGCACAGCCCGGGGAGCGGCTGGGGGAGAAGAGGGAAGGAGGCTGCAAAGTGTGGTGGCGTTTCATCCAAGGAAGGAACCACCAGAGCGAGAAAAACTGAATCGGAGACAACTGGTGCCACGCTGAAAAGGAGAAGTCCCTGAGAACACGAGCGCAGAGAAAGAAGGGCAGGGGAGGAGGGAATACTGGTCTCCCAGGCCTTAGCAGACCCTTCCAACCCCAGCCTCACCGTGAGACAGTTGCTAGAGATGCCTCCCGTGGAACAGAAAAAAAAAAAGACACCACCTCTCTGTTCTCAGAGGGAAACAGGGAAAGCAATACCATCTTCTGGGACCCCCGGGAGTAGCCCTGTGCCCCAGCCACCTGGCACCGTCCATTCCCAGCTGAAGCACCGAAGCCACGGAGAAGTCAGCGGACAGCTTCTGTATAGCACGGGGACAGTCGATACCAGCTCCGCAGACCCAGGAGAATGACCGAGAAGCTTCAGTGCCCCAGCCAGCCATGGTCAGACCGACTTGCTCTTGGGCCACTTCTCACCACACTGTCACGCACAATATTAAGGTCGAAGTGGCTTCTCTTTATTTCAGAGTCCATTCAGAGACTAAGTAGGCAGAGTGTCCCTCATGTGATCACAGGGGCAGCAGAGCGGACTCCTTGCATCCACCAACCCGGGCGGCCCCTTGCTCACCATCAGCTCACCACGCCCACTCCCAGAGGAGCAAGGCGGTCTCCCTGAGGCCAGGAGAGACCCCATTTCCTGTATCCTTCACAGGACTTGGCAGCCCAGGCAACCAGTTTAAGTACTAAATTAACACATTATTGACCAGAGACGTATTAACACATCTTCTGTCCTGGAAACAGTTCAATATTCACTTACACAGCAAACCACTGGCCACCGGTGTTAAGTTTCTGCAAAAATCCCCCAGTCAGCAACGAGCTCATACCTGTTGGTGAGTACCTGGCCTTTGTCGGCCTCCTCCTTCCTCTTGCTGTGGTCACCTTAAAAGACCACAGATTATTTTTCTTAGGTTTATTTTTATTTGAATAATTAGCTCCAATGAGTCCTTCAATCATGACGACTGGGACATAATTTTACTGCCTAGTGTCGTAAGTCCATTAGCAAAAAACCCAAAAATGCCTTAACTTGACTTTTAAAAACATACCAAGTCTATTTTCTGCATTATCAATTACAATAGCAGATATAAAACTCTTCACAAATTCTTGGTTTTGATACTTGAGAAGTGCTGGGTAGATCAAGAAGCAGATGCGGAAAGACAGACAAAGCCAGAGAAAGACATGAATGCACACCCACGCACACCCACGACAGACTAGGCTGCACCGCTCGCCTTGTTTAAAGGTTTGCTGCCACACACAAAGATTTTCGAATCAGACACACGTAGAGCAAAATTCTGCCTTCCACCAACTGTGTGATCTTGGGCTCATTAGTCTTCTTTAGGCCTCAATTTCCTAAACTTTAAGATGAAGATGACATCATCTACCTCATGGGGTTCTTCTTTTCAAACATTCATTCAAATGTTTCCTGAAGAGTAAGGATGCATGCAAAGGACTTTATCCAATGCTTTTAACAGCAGATGTTTTCTGTCAATGATAAAATTAAATTGGCCTCTCACCTTTCTGTGTATATCTCTTTTCACATAATTTTTTATTTCCAAAGGTGATGTACTATATATACTAAAGAATTTAATATTTATGTGACTATTTCTAACCACAAAAAGTTAATAAATCAGACTCTGGATTCAAAAAATATAGTCACTGTAGTCATGGGCCAGATGAGATAAAAAATCAGACCCCTCCCTCCTCAGAGAATCCTATCACAGGCTTCCAACAAAAGCAAATTAAAATTAAAATGTGGTCCTAGAATATCTGTGCTATTAAAATTATCTTAATGAAATCAAAAGTCTATGAATCAGGGGGGAAAAGTGTTACATCTCTATCTTCATTAACCTTTAGCTGAAATTCAACATTACAATCAGTTATGAATAGAGAGGGGAAAAATTCTGGCTAATATCAGCAGTGCTCTTAGCTTTGTCACTGATAGGAATCAAAACTTTTTCCATAGCACATTAGAGTAGTTGCAGATCTTAAAATATCACTTATGCTAATATTCTGAAATCACAGTAGGGATTAGATATTGATGATGACTTTATCTCAATTTTTAAATTAATATGTTATTTACTGGTTTCCTTCATAGGCCTGTGTACTTTATTATAATCACATATTTCAAACACTGTTCTGAGAAGCATCCCATATATGATTTTACATAAAATTATGAATAGCTTAAATCATAGTCTTATGGTTGAAAGAGGCAGTTTGGACTGGAAAGAAATCCCAATTATATGTCAATGTTAAACTTTCATTCAGCGTTTAAAACTTAAATTGTGAAACACGCTGAATTATCAGTAATGAATACCAAATATTTTGAAATTGGCAATTAGCCCACTGAATATAACTACTTCTTGAATACAAAAATAAAAAAGAAGCAGTGCATAGAACTCACCAGACTATCAAAGGAATCCACCACAAACAAAAATGTTAAAACAAAAATCTGCCTTGGAAAGTTACAGAAAAAAAAAAAATTTTTTTTAACTAAGCAGCAAATAGCTATACACATATTTTTTCTTTCACACTTAAGTCCTTCTGCCACTTAATTAGGAGAAGCTCCTTAATCCTCGTTGCTATCGCTAAGCTGTGTCTGACCCTTTTCAGCCTCATGGACTGCAGCACACCCGGCTTCCCTGTCCTTCACTACCTCCCAGAGTTTGCTCAAATTCACGACCACTCAGTCGGTGAGGCTATCCAGCCATCTCATCCTCTGACATCCCTTTCTCCTTTTGCTTTCAATCTTTCCCTGCTACTCTCTTATCCACTACAAATCTGAGGCTGTAGAACAGTTTTGGTTAACATCAAGCCATCTGTCATTTCCCTATAACATTTTCAATACTGAGTCTCAGAAAAAAGTGTGAAGTAAAGTGATTCTCATTTATTTTCTAACAGAAACACCTAGAAAAATATAAAAGCTTCATTACGAATCACTATATTTACATTCATTGGATGCTGGTGTTAGAAAAACCTCGGAGACTGTATGGCGCAGATGTCCACGAGAACCGTGAAGAGCCTCACTCCCCACCAAGAGGCTGTGAGCCCCCCGACACCGAACCACTTGGGGTTACTAGCGCCCCCTGCTTTCTTGGCTTTC